CTCGAGCGTTGGTAGGACCACGAGTGGACCCGAGATATCGCTCGGATCCCCGTGCCCGCAGTAAACGTGAAGCGACTGGAGCTGCGCCGCGTTGAGGCGAGCGAGAAGCTGCGCGTAAGCGGGCAAGGCGTCAGCGCACCCCGCCAAGTGCAAGCTGGTGAGGCGTCTAAAGGACGGCGCGACGGCCATGAGCGGGTCGAGGAGCCCGGGCACGTGGAATCGGAATGCCAAGCCGGTGAGCGTCGTCGTCTTGCGCAGCACCGTCGCCAGCTCGTCGCTTCCGGTGGAGCCAAAGTACGTCAGGTCCAGGACCTCGGCGTAGCCCGACTCGAGCCATCGGCGGACGGCCGCCAACGCCGTGGCGTCGCCGTCTTTGCACACTGCCTCTAGGGAGTAGTGGTCGGCCGTGAGGACGGGCTCGCCGGCGGCCCGGTCGTCGTCGGCAGGTGCTGTCGGAGCGTGGGTCGAGGGGACCGGGTCGGAGCCCTGGACTGTCTTGGTCGGGCTATTGCTGCTGCTCATGCTGGACGGAAACTGACCGCAAAAGATCCGTTCTCTCTCAGACTCAAACTCAAACTCAGTTTCGGAACAATGGGGACATATTTTCTCAATTTCGACGAACACACACAATATTGCGGCCTTTCTTCCATGAAAACCACGCGAATCCATTAGGGGTATATTTAAACACAAACATGGACAGCCTGTGCACGTTCAATACCAAGCCGAATGGAACGACACTTCGTAGTCGCGATGGGACGGCGTATCTCAAAAATTGGCAAAAACTCAAAAATAGAAAAAAGGCGGGAAAAACAAACCGATCGAGAACGGGACGCCCAAAGCGCAATCAATCGGCGCGCTCCACGAGCTCTTGGCCGACCCTGCGCGGATCATGCAGCGTGACGGTCGGCAGTGCCATGCTCAGCAGGATCCGGAGGAAGCCGTGAGCAAGCTGTGGCCGGTGCTGGAGCTCAGCGTCGGCACGTCCGCGACAGGCGAGCTTGCACTCGCCGCGATGCCACTCTTTCCCGCGGTTGCCCTTCGCAACGTCGACCTGACACGAAACGAACTGGGTTACGACCTCTTCCAGTGGCTGTACCTCATGCGTCACAAGATCACAGACTCTCGCTTTGAAGGCAGCCACGACATCCCGCGCATCGGCTCCGTCTCGACGCAATGCACCAACCTTCAGAGCGTCGACGTATGCAATGGCGCGATCCTCGAGGCGTCATCACGACACCTGCGCACCGCGTCCCCAGCCTCACAGTCAAAAGCACCATTGCCACGGCAGAGGTGCTCCCGGTTGTCGCGCGCTGGCTCACGTCGGGCTACGCCTGTCAGATGCAAAACGTGCAAAATGCATTCGCGGAGCACGAGACGGACCTGGCCATGGACCATCGCGTGGCCGCACGCAAGGCTCTCCATCGTAGCCAGTTCGTCGAGCGAGGTGCTGTCAAGCAGCACGATCGAGATGCCACGGCACGACGCGAGTGCTTGACCGAGGACGAGGATATGGGTCTTGTTTGGCAGTAGGAACGGATCGATGTAGATGTCACACCAACGCGGCTCGTCGTATGCGCAATGGCCGATGCAAGAGCACACAAATGGTCTTGAAAAGCATAGCCGACAAACGAGATCTTGCGGATACCACGTGTGATCCACTCGCGTAACGCCGTGATCTGGGACGCAGCCAGTGTGAAGTACTCCCACGCAAGGACGCAGGAGTGGAAATGCTTTCCACGCAGCCTCGGAAAACGGCGTTCCATGAAACCCCTCGTGCCGAAGCGTCGAGGCCAGCGTCGACATGACGACTTATGACGACAAGCCGAAATGCCCTAGGGTTAGGTCTTCCAGCGCCGGGAACGTCGGCAGCACGGCGAGGATCAATCAATCAGTCAAACGTGTTTGCGTTGAAATCAAACTAGCAAAAACTAACTCAAAGACTTGGCATACGTAGTGTCTTGGTCGTTGGGAGTGATGGCAGTATCATCGTGATCAAAGCCCTCGACGCGGAGCGATAGAAGTGGTACAGCGTGGAAGCGCGTCAGAAGCTCCGAGACGGCAAGCGAGGCCGACGCCTGATGATGCGAGATGCGCAAGCTTGTGAGGCGCGTGAACGCTGGCGCGACTCCAACGAGCAGCGCAACGAGCCCGGAAAACTCGAACGAGACATCGAGGCTGGAGAGCACGGAGAGCTCCATCACCACTGGCGCCATCGCCAGCGAAGCACACGAAAACTCCAAGTGCTGTGCGTGGCCAGACCCGAGCCAACGCATCAAGCATGTTGCAGTCTCTGCGTCTCTTGTTGCGTCCTCCATGGCGAGGGTGAGGGACGAGACACGGTGCGCGGGCGTCGTGACCGCGTCCAGGACCGACACCTTCGATCCCACGTTGACGCTGGTGAGACGGGTACAGCGGCGCAAGAGGCTGTCCATCGACGGGCGGGTGGCGTCGTAGTAGCTGTTGTGCAAGTACGTGACGGCGGCAAAGACCGACATCGCATCCACTGCAAGCGCAGCGCCCGCAAACGTGAGCTCGTTCAACTGCAAGACAGGCCACAAGAGCTCCGCGAACTCCTTCGTTCGCTTGAAACGTCGGAGCCCAAAACGTTTGGGCCGCACGACCGCCACGGGGTCACGCAGGAGCTCCTGGAGCGCCGCCAGCGTCGGGGTACGCGCATCGGCCGGCAGCGCAGCGAGGAAGGCGTTGACGTCCTTGGCTGCAGGGATGCACTGGACGATGGCGGTGACCGCGATGTCCAAGTTGAGGACAGTCAGCAAGGCCACAGTTGGGCGTCTGGCTGGGCGTTCGGTACCGCTCATCTTCGTATCTGGCCGAAGCTCCGACTCGTTCTTCTTCATACCACTCTCAACGCTGAAACTCAGTCGGGTCGTATGCTTCTCAAAACACGCGCATCGATCTGCAACATAGGCGAGTCCATCGTCGCCCGAGTCCATGCTCCATGAGCCCCTTCAATTCAGCAACATTTGCACAGACAAGTGTTCCATGTCGTCGTTTGATTTCTAGAAAAATGAAAAAACGACTTGAACCCGTTGAGGATTTAGGCGTAGGGGTAGGGTCCCCAAGATCGTTGTTTGGGCGTCTTGATCACGTACTCGACGGTGCTCTCGTCTCTGCCGCATCGCCGTTGACACGGTACCAAGACGACCCATCGGCGTGCAAAATAGCCCGTCAACGACCAGGTGAAGGCCTTTCCGCCGGCTCGAGAAAGGACGTCGCGCGAAACGTGACGCGCCGAAGCGAGGCTGTGACGCGCCGCACCGTTCATGCAGAAAGCGGCAAAGGATGAGATCTTGGAGCGCCGGCCACGTTGGAAGCAGCTTACTAGTGACGTGTCCATACAGACGCCCAGGACATAGCGAGCCAAGGCGTGGGCTGCGGCACGAGCGTCATCCACGCAGGCATATCGTTCACTGGCAGCGCGAGATGCTGACGTGGCAGCGTAGCCGCTCAAAAGCAGCGCGAGTGTCTGGCCGAATCTTCTCAACTGCATCCTTGTCGCACGCCAATCGCAACACTGAAACTCAATCGGGTCATCCATTTCTCAACACGCACACTGCCACCACCACCAACAACAGCACTGCTGCAACAAACGTCCAAAGTCAAAAGGCAACAACCGTTTTGTTTTCAAGATGCAATTCATGTATTTTGAGAGAGAGCGATAGGCAACCACGCAGACCTAGCCAAAGACGTCGCGCTGGCCTTCTTCTTCGGCGTCGCCGGCGGCTTCGTCGACCGACTCCATCGCGCTGAAGTTGTAAAAGTGCGTCTTGCGGTGGACTTCGTGGTAAAACTCTTTCGGGTTGCCGACCTTGACGTCGTACTTCATGCTCGGCGTGTGCTTGACGCCCATAAAGTTGTAGTTCCACACTTCTTCGTCCGGCACCATGTAAAAGCCCACAAAGCGGTCCGAGAGCAGCATCTGCACCTTCTCGTAGTGCGTCGGCAGATACCCCGGCGGGCTCGGCCCCGTGTCCTTGTTTGCGCGGCCCCACTCGTAGCCCGCGGGCGTCAGCTTGTACGCGGTGAGCGACGCCGAGCCCGGCGTGAAGCTGCACGTGATCGCAATCGTCTTCTCGCCGTCCCACGACGCGTTCTCGGCCATAAACTTGGCGTGGAACGACACGTCTTGGGGCGCCAGCGCCGGCGTCTCGTTCGGCTGCGTGTGGATCCAGCCGAGCGCCTCGAGGTTCTCGAGGTACTCGTGGCTCGGCGCAGCCATCGGGATCGTGACGCTCTGGTGGGTCCCGAGCTGCGGCGGCACGACAATGCACCGAATCTCCTTCACGTGCGGGTTGTCGGGCGGCGAGACACCGTAGATGAGGCCGCCGATCTGCGTCCGGAGGTCCGCGACCGTGATGAACTTGTTGAGAATGTTCTTGGGCAAGACGTACGTAAAACCCGACTCGCGAATGTCGTCCGAGTTGACGTAAATGTGGTTGGTCCGCAAGTGCAAGTTGGTGGCCGAGATCGCACGCACGCGCCAGTCCGTCTTGCTCGCAAACGAGTGCTGCTCGTACTGCGACGTGGTCGTGACCACCATGCCGTCACCGTGCACGTTGACCGTCTTGGTCGTCACCGCCGTGAGCTGCGACTGCTCGCGCGCCTGCGCCTCGACCTCGGCGACCATTTGGCGCTGCTGCGACGGCGCCGAGATCTCCATACCGAGGATGATGTCGCGGATCTCGCTCTGCGTGAGCGACGCGACGTTCACGTTGTTCTTCTTGCCATAGTCGTTGAGGATGAGGTCCTTGAGCTGCACTTCGAGCTTGAGCCAGTCCTCGTCCGTGAGGCTCGGCCAAATGTGGTGGTCCTGCGTGATCGTGGTCGCGGTCGGCCGCAAAATGATCTTGGTGCGGTCCTGGCTCACATGGAGCGCGCGGAGGATCAAAATCAGGCGCGAGAACGCCGTGTACGACGTGATCGTGTTGAGCCAGTCGTCGTAAATGTTGAAGAGGACCATTTGTGGCTCGATCGCGCGCAGAATCAGGTCGCCAAACTTCTCGACCTTGAGGCACGCCTGGAACGGCAGCTGCAGCTCCGAGCCCTTGATGACAATGTTGGGAAAGTCGAGCAAGTGCACTTCGAGCGGGTCGAGCATGCCCTTGCGCGTGACAATGATCTGCTTGGGCTGCTCTTCGACGGGCAGCGACCGAATGAGCGCGGCCACTTCTTCGGCCGTCTTCCACTTGGCGAGCTGCCCGAGACGCTTCTGGCCGGCCCACACCGACGTGTGGATGATCTTGAGGAAGAGCTGGCCCGTGCGCGGGTTGAAGATGAAGATCGCGCCGTTGATGGGCTTGGTCGTCAAGTTGCCTTCAAACGTCTTGTGGATCGTGACGCGGTACACGTTCGTGTCGTCGACAAACCAAATGATCTGGTTCGAGAAGAGCTCGCCATAGTTTTGGCTGCTCAGATACGGCTCGGTCGGCTCGCTCGAGTAGAGCTGGAGCCCCTTGCGGATGCGCTCGCGCAGCACGTACATGGCCGGGTTGGCCTTCATGATCTTGGCCATCGCTTGCTGCATGAGCGGCTTGCAGCCCGTAAACCAGTTGCCGTAGCCACTGTAGAGGTTGTACGCGAGGTCCACCGCGAGGAGCACACCGGTCGGCGACGGGTAGATCGTCATGTTGTCCGACGTGTAGTCGAGGAACTTGGCGCGCGCGTAGCGCTCAATGTCGTGCGAGTCAAAGTCGCCCCAGCGCAGCTGCACGTCGATCCAGTACTTGGTCGACGTCGTGCCGTCGGCCGAGTCCTTGACGTCGTGCAAGAGCGTCGGCTTGCCCATCTGCCACTTGTACGACGCAAAGAGCAGAATGTCGGCGCACGACGAGTTCATCTTGTACGACTTGCGCGGGTGGATCGTCTCCTTCTGGACGTTCTCGATCGCGAGCGCGTCGAGCTCTTGGTCAAAGACCTGGCAGAGATCCATGACGAGCGACTCGTGGATCTTTTGCCACAAATGGGCGCGGAAGATCTGGATGAGCGAGATCTTGAGCGTCGGGATCTTGCCGTGCATGAAGATACCCGTCAGATCGAGCTGGACCTGGAAACCCACGTACACGTTGGCGCGGTTGATCGTCGGCGACCACCACAGCGTGAACCGACGGTTGGGAATCTGGTTGAGACCCGACCGCTGCGCGTTCGTGAGCTTCTTGTACTTCATCGACTCTTCAAAGCCCGAGGCCTTCTCCCAGAAGAGGCCCTCCCACGTCGGAAAGTACGTGCCCTTGAAGAGCGTGTGCTCGAGGATACCTTCGACGCCGCCGAGCGCCTGGATCATGTCCGTGCGGTAGTTGTTGAGGTTCCAGAGCTTGCCGTCGTGGCGCGTGTGCGTCCACCAAAACGGGTTCTGCCGCAGCACTTGGTACTTCTTGAAGTCGGTGCGCACGCGCCAGCCCTTGTCGTACGCGAGCGTGTGCCGGTCCTTCTGGAAGAGCGTGTTGATGCGCGGGATACCGCGGTCCCACGAGTCCTCGAGGTCCTCGAGCGTCAGCCGGCGGTTCTGCGCCGTCGCCTCTTGCCGCTTGAGCGCGTACTCGGCCCAGACACGCTGCGAGTCGATAAACTCCGACTCCCACGGCTGCAGGTACCGGAAGAGGTTCGGGATGAGCTGGTCTTCTTCGTGCGACATGCCCGACCGAAAGTGCGTGATACCGCCTTCCGTCTGCTTCATGTAGCGCATGTCGCTCTGCGGAATGAGCACGTGGCCCATCGAGAGCATGCCGAGACCGCCGAGCTCCTTCGGCGTGTAAAACACGACGGGCGGGAAGCGCGACGGCATCTTCGAGTTGAGGCCGATCTTGATGCGCGTCTGCATCTTGTTCTCGCACTTGACGAGGAGGTCGAGCAGCTCCTGCGTCTGCACGACAGCTTCGCGGAAGTACGTCATGAGCCCAATGAGCGCGGCGTTCCACTTGTTGGCGACCTTGGTAAACGTCGTCGAGCCCGAGCTCATGAGGATCTGCCGCACGCGGTTCTCGAACGCCTTGATCGCGGCCTCGTCGACGCGCAAGTACGCCTGCGCGGTCCGCTCCTTTGTCACGTCGTTCTGGAGGTTCCACACGCCGTCCTTGTGCGCAAACTCGTCTTCGATTGCGCGCGACCGCGGCAGAATGCGCACGTCAAAGCCGCACATGTTGAAGAGCAAGTTCGGGTTGTCCTTCGAGTAGACCGACACAAAGCTGTGGTCCCACTCGAGCGTCGTGAGCGACCGCGGGAGGCGGTTCTTCATGTCCCAAAAGGTCGCGCGGCCGAGGTTCACGTCGTGCTTCATGAGGCGCATGCGCGCGTCGCGCGGCCAGCACTTTTTGTTGTTGTAGCCGACAATGTTCTCGTTGTTTGGGTCCGGGTGCTCGGTCAAATAGCGCTGGATGAGATCGCGCGAGTCGTCCGCGTCAAACTTGTAGACGACGTAGATCTTGTCAATGTACCGCGTGTACATGCGGATCGGATGCGACGTCTCGGTCGCCGTGTCCTTGAACGCGAGGTACTCGTTCGGGAACTGCGGCGGGCCCGCAATCTCGGACGCGCGCGTGAGGCCGAGCATGAGCAGGTCGAGGACGAGACCATAGTACTGGAACACAAACGACGCAAACTGGAGGCCGCGGATGAGCCCGTACGAGTTCGTGTGCATCATGTCCTTGTACGCAATGACAACGTTGTTCTTGGCGGTGATGTAGTCGGCAATGTTGTGGTCGAGCACGAGGCGCAAGAGACGGTTGAGCAGCGTCAGGTCCATCTTCTCATAGACCTTCTCGAGCTTGGACTCCATGACGACGACGCACTCGCCATTGTCCGTGCGCCAAATGTTGTCCAAGTTGTTGATGCCCTGGCACCACTTGTACACGAGCAGCGGCGGCGGCTCCGAGTCGCCCGGCTTGATCCACGACGGAAACAAGTGGCGCTTGTCGGCTTCGTACCACAGATACTGGTCCAGGTACGCGTCCGTGATCTTCTCGAGCGGCTCGATCTCGTACACCGGTAGCAAGTGCGAGTAGAGGTCCATAAACTCCATGCCCATCTCCTTGAACGCGCGCTGCGTGAGCAAGTGGCGCTTGATGCGGCTCAGCGCCTCGTGCGGGTTGTCGTACGCTTGCTCGATCAACCCGAGCTCCTCGCGCGCGTTCTGGTTGAGCCGGTTGTTGGCCGAGTAGTTCTCCTTGAGCCGCTCGAGCGCCAAAATGAGCAGCTTTGTGTCGTGCTTGTACGAGAGCGGCGGGAACGGAATCGACGCAAACTTGCGCGACTCGAGCCAGTGCACCGTCGTCGTGTACACGGCGACAGCCTCCTCGGCCGAGACGTACGGGCCGTCCTTGAGGTAGTTGTGCTGGCGCTCCTGCTCGGCCTTGAGCCAGAGGCGCGTGAGGCGCCCGAGGTTCTTCTTGCACACCGTCTTGTCGACCGTCGCACCGCGCTTGATGCGCTCGCGGTTGTAGTGCGCGACGTTGGTCCACCAATCCGCCTTGCTCTTGACGTAGCGCAGAATCATGTTTTCGATCGGCGCCGGCAAGCCCGGGACCTTCCACGGGATGTTGGCCTTCCAGCAGCGCCACGCTTCCGAGAGGTGCTGCAAGATCGTGCGCGACTTGTTGGCTTTCACGCCCTCCGGCATCATGTCCAGAATGTCGTGCATGACGGCGGCGCGGAGCTCCAGATCAAAGTGCGACTCGACGCGCTGCTTGGTGACCGTCTTGGCAATGCCCTTCGAGTGGCGGCCTTCAAACTGACGCGCGAGGAGGTTCCCAAGCCAGCGCTCGAGGAGCGGCACGATACCGCGCAGAAAGAAGAGCCAGACGCGCCACGCCGGCGCCCAAAAGCCGCAGCCCGGCCCTTTCCCGACCGGGCCCGTGTTGAACCGGTAGTAGATCAAGTGCTTGAGGTCCTTGCACATACGCACTTGGCGCATCAAGCGGTACTTGTAGCGGTACATGCCCGTGAGCTGCCCGACGTGCGCAAACGAGTACTGGAGACCATCGGCGAGCTGGAACGCGTCGACGTTGCCGAGGCGGTACTGCACGTGCGCGTCGACCAGGAGCTTCATGAGGCGCAGAATCTCCCGCGTGAGGTGGAACGCGTTGCCAAAGCGCGACTTCTTGCGCTCCTTCGTCGTGAGCGTCTTGATCGGCTTGAGGTTGAAGTTGTAGTCAAGATGCAAGTAGTTGAGGTTCTTGCGATGGATGAGCAAGTTGAGCATGTTGTAGCCTTGGCGACACACTTGGAGGCCGGCCTCGACCCAGTCGAGCTCCGTCGACTGGAAAAACTTGGTCGACTTGAGCGACTTGAAGAGGTACTTCTTGTTGAGCGCCTTGGGCGGCCGCGCGTGCAAGTGGTTGAGCACCCAGCACTTGAGCAGCTTCTGGTAACTCACTCGGACCTTGACGGGCTGGCCCGCCGGGCAGTGCTCCTGGAACCACTTGTTGACGAGCGGCACGTCCAGCGCGCGCCGCGTCTTGCCCATGCGCAAGTTGAACGGCCGCGGCGCCCAGTAGAGCGCGATACCGCTCGCCGTGTTCTCCGTGTAGAGCTCCTCTTCCGACAGAATCGGCGCAAAGCCCATCGGCATCTGAAACTCGTCCTCGTCCTCGTCGTCCTCGTCCGAAGCCGTCTTGGCCGTCGTCTTGCCGATGCGGAACTGCGAGATCGGGTTGATGATCGGGTCAAAGTAGAACGCCGGCAAGTCCGGGTCCTCGGCCTTGATGTAGCAGAGCGCGGGCGCGTGGTACGGCTGGATGTGCACAGCGCGCGGGCGACTGTTGTACAAGTACGGGAACGCGACGCGGTACTCGGTGCGGATCTGGTGCCGGATGATGATCTTGTTGATGTCGTTGAACTCGTTCCAGTCCTCGTCGTCTTGGTCCAGGTCGCGGTAGAGCGGCTCAAACTTGGGCCCACCGGGAATCGCGACGTTGAGCGCCTTGGCCGTGAAGAACGACGCCTTGTCAAAGAGGTACTGGTAGTTCGGGTCGATGAGGTCCGACATGAGCTGGCTTGCCAAGCGGTGCAAGTTGGACATGATCGGGACCGGCAGCTTCCACTTGCGGTAGCTCGGGCCGTTGATGTACTTGGAGTCGACGAGCGGCTTGGCGTCGTAGAGCCACTCGATCACGGCTGCATCGTCGTCCTCGCCCAGTTCCATCTGGATCGCCTCCGACGGCTCGACGTCGAGGATGTTGTCGCCATAGTCGAGCGGCGGCTCTTCGTCGTCGAACGGCGGGAAGCGCATGCGCTTGAAGTGGCGACGATCGCGCTTCTCACGACGCATCATGACCCACATCGTGCCCCACTGCGCAATGTACACGGGCTCAATGACCCACGGGATGTCGTTCACAAACGTAATCGCGCCCGTCACGTGGTAGAGCACCTTGACCTCGCGCACTTGCTCCCACGGCATCGGCATGTTCTCGAGGAGCTTGAGGACCGCATGCGGAACGTACTTGAGCGCGCCAAGGTACACGCGCTTGTCGTGGCGGAACTTCTTGCTGCTCATGTCACCGTGGTCCTTGATGATCTTGCGCACGTGCTCGGCGGGCATGTCGTCCTTGGTGCTCTCGACAAAGCCAAACTTGCGCTTCTCGCCGTAGCGCTTGCCCTGGCGCTTGGCCCAGCGGTTGCTGCGCTCCTCGACCTCGCGGAAGAAGCTGTCCGTGGCCGCGTCGTCGTACAGCGCCTCGCCGGCCGTGTACTCGTACTCGACGTCGGCTTGCTGCGCTGGCGGTGGCGGCGGGACGAAGCCATGGCCCGGCGGCGGCGGCGGGACGTGGCCAAGTCCAGGCGGTGGCGGCGGCGCCAGGCCCGGCGGCGGTGGTGGCGGTGGGATGGCCATCTACTCGAGCTTCGTGTGCGTCCGTCCGCTTGCCGCAGCCACAGAACAAAAAGTAGAATAACGAGATGGGCGTCCGGATACAATGCCGGCCAACGATTGGCCAAAAGTCAAATCTTTTTCCGGCCGAATATCCCGGAGAAAACCCGGACTTTGGTCCCATTCGAACGGCCCACCGTACTGCAGACACTGGATGCGTGGCGTTAGCACTGTCGCGCCGTGCACTTGCTGAGCTTACTCTCGACTACAGTTGTGGTCCATAGCACTCGCTCCGATATGAAATCGACTTCATACAGCGCTCTTGGTAGCAATAGACAGCGAAAACACTGTATTGTCGAAATTGGTTAGCAGCAACTGCATTCCACAAACAGTGTTTTTGCTTGGTATACTGTTTTGCAAAACAAAACACAGTGTATCGTAGCAGTAACCAGTGTTTCACATCGACTTCGCCCCACAATGCGTCTTCCTGCAGCTCGATCGTTGCCGCTAGTGGTGTCTACATTAGCATATAAGTTTGTACTGTGTATCCCATGGCACCATCTCTTGGCTGGTCTACCGAACCAGCGGCTTCTGAGCGATCTCGCTGTCCATGGTGCCAGACTTTATCCAGTGTTTGAACCACGATCTGAAATCCACTGGCCACATGGAACGGCCGCGTGTGCAATATTTAGCGGTCGCGTTTCAGCCACTTTTTCGTGCCACCGAGCTGCCACCGATGTCGTTCGCGTCCCGCGTCCTTCCGTTCCTGCAGTCCGAGCACCAGCGCCACGCCGCCGCCATCCGCGCCTCCATGGAGGCCATGCGCCGCTATGCGCCGCTCACGCCGGCCCAGATCCAGCGCCTCGAGGCCGCCGGCAACCGCGGCGGTACTCGACGACTGCGCCATCTCTCCTCATCGTCGCTGACGTAGCCGAGTCGTGGGCGACCGTGCACACGAGCAGCCCATCCCTCGCGCATCTCGACCGCATCCGCAACTGCTCGTTCCGCGGCCACGTCTACTTTGGTCTCTCGCTGTCCTGCAAGAGCTGGCCATCTGACATGTGGCTTAGAAACGTTTGCCAAGAACACGGTGGTTGAAGGCGTGCCCTTTCCGAGCGGCCTCTACAACAGCACGCTCAGCGACGCGTTCATTGCCGCCGACGCGCTCGTCCACGACACGTTCCTTCTCCACGGTACATCCATGCGCTTGGAGGCGAAAAAGCCCGCAACATATAAAGCTAGGCACGTACGTTGCATCGGGTGCGAGCGTCGTCGGGTGCGGTACGATCACCGTCTCGGCGGCGCCGATCTACGGCAACAACAACCCGCTCAAGGTTGGCGTCGAGATTGGCGGCCGCGAGATCCACGCCTTCGCCGACCTTCCGTTTGACCGTGCGTGGTTTTGTCGCACGATTCCATCTTTCTAACCGCATGCGTCGTGGTCTAGTCGCGGTTACGGTTGGCCAGAACCGGTCGGATAGCACCGAGCTCGCCGCGTACGCTGCCAACGTGGCGACCTACACGGCAGCGATCACCTGCGCCGTCAACGTCATTGGCGCCGACGCCCAAGTGCTGCGCTGCGCCAAGCTCCACGACGTCTTTGCCGGCGACTTTGCCGTTTTGCAAGATTCGATCGTGCTCAACTCGACCGTGCTGTCGTCCAACGCGGAGCGCAGTCGCATCACGGGCTTCTCGCACGTGACCGACTCGATCCTGCAGTGGCACGCCGTCGTCGAAGGCGGCAGCAGCGTTGAGCGCGCCTTCCTCTGCGAGTACTCGCACGTCGAGCGCCATGGCATCGTCATGGACTCGCTCCTCGGTGCGTTGATTTGTCTCTGGATTCAACACACGGGATGCATGCAGGCCCCAACACGTCAATCGCCGAAGGCGAGGTGACGTCCAGCTTCCTCGGGCCCTTTGTGGGCTTTCACCATCAAGCCATGATCATTGCGTCCTTCTGGCCCGAAGGCAAGGGCAACATTGGGTCAAATCCACGCAGTACAAAAGATGACAGCGCCTCATGCGTCTGCGTAGGTATGGCGCCAACGTCGGCAGCAACCATACGCTCAAGGCGCCGGACCAAGAGCTCTGGCCGGGCGAAGGCGTCTTTTACGGCCTCAGCGTCTCGGTCAAGTTCCCGAGTAACTTTACGCACGCGCCGTACTCGGTGCTCGCGACGGGTGTCAACACGCTACCGCAGCGGCTCGAGATGCCATTTGCGCTCGTCAACCTGCCAGGCCACAACATTCCGGCCTTGTCGCCGGCGGTCAACGAGATCTTTCCCGGGTACGTCCTCGTTCGTGCTTGGTCTCGCACTGTTGACGCTGTTCTTGCATGTTGCGATTTTTCGATCGATATATATATATTGATATATTGATACTAAGGTGAGAGTTGTGTAGGTGGGTCCTGGGCAGCAGCATCTTCACGGTACTCCGCAACATGGACAAGTTTGAGAAGCGCAACCGCGCAACACGCACGATCATCGAGCACGAAATCTTCCGCCCCGAGATTGTTCGCATGATGCAAGGTGCGTCCTCGCACCTCTCTTTGTAGTATCCCTTCCATGGCAACTAGTGGCGCTTGAGCGCTTGGCGTCGCCCAAGGACACGTCGCTCACGCTCGGAACGCAAAAGATCTACACCGACAAGCAGGTACCTGGCTGCTGACACACTGGATGCCAACGCGGCTGTCCAGGTGCCTGGCCTTGGCAAGAACTACATGACGGAAGCCTCGCGCGTCGCGGGCATTCGAGCGTACACGTTTTTCATTCGCTTTTACGCACTCAACGGCTTTTACACGGCCTTGCGCACCGGCACGCAGCCCCTCGAGTCGCTCTTGGCAGCCTCGCCAAGCTCGGCACGGTAGCCACCTTTCAAACTGCATCGAAAGTGATGAAGTACTATATCCATGTAGGTGGGCGCATGAGCGCAGCATTCTGTTGGCGGCGACGCCGGACGCAAGCGGCGCCGACCTCCTCCGGGAGCTCGTGGCGGCGTACAAGAGCGTGGCCAAAGACGCTGAAGTCGGCAAGGCCCGGGACGACAAGCGTGGGCAGCAGATCATCCCCGACTACAACCATGTGCACAAGAAGGCGTCCGAAGAACGCATCGTCTTGGACGCGCAGCGGTACAATATCGACTCTCTTGTCCTAAACAGACTGCTTCTTACACGGTGTCCTAGCCGCGCGGCCGAGATGGAAGCTGCGGTCGCCACGTACCTTCCGCGCCTCTGAGCCCATGCATCGTCGCGGGTGACTCCTGAGCACTTTAGGCAATCACCAATACATACTAGTATGGCCTTTCTGAACTCTACGACCAGCTTGCACCCCCATGTGACGTGGGGATGGCTCGCAGTCGACAAGGAGGATCGGGCATAAGCAACACCAACAAGACGAGATAGGCGCAACTGGACGGTTGGCATTTCGTCCGGCGACGGCTTTCGTAACACCCTCCGTGCTACCCGCCACACCGTCTTGTGTCCTCCTGTACCCAGCTTGGTACCTCCAGCTTGGCAGAGACAACAGGCATGGCACTCTACCCAGTGGAAGTGGAAGCAATGGTAGCCACCTTCGATCGGTGGCATAAATTAAGTATCGCTCTCACAAGTGCTAGAACGAAATGAAGCGGTAAAAGGCCGACATGTCCCGCGGCAGGCCGTGACGACAAACGGGGCACTCGTCGTGGGTCTCGAGCCACGGAAGGATGCAGGCGTGGTGAAAAACGTGATGGCACGGAAGCTCGACAATGTCGCCGTGACTGTTGGCAAACTGTTCAATGCACACGGTGCACTCGTCGTTCCAGCAGCTGCCCGCGTCCACGTCGTACCAGGGCCGCGGCACGAGTGAGCTGCGGTAGGCAGGGCACGTTGGCCGCACGTCGACGCTGGTCGGTCCGTCGCCGAGCAGTTCCAGCGACGCCCGCAGTAAGCTCGGGCTCGCGCAGTCGACACATGCGCGGCCAAGGTTGGACGTCGTGTTGATCAAATAGACAGTACGCGAGCACTTGGAACACACGAGGTCGCCGCAGACGCGGCAGTGGTGGCGGCGGCGGTAAAACTTGAAGCCTTTGCCGCAGCATTGGCAGTTGGACCGCGCTTGGTCGTGGACCCATTGGTCGCGCGGGCAGGCGCTGCGAACGGGCGGGGCCGTGAGCGTACTCTCCATGCTCTCGGCGCTTGCTGGATTTCTCTCAAATGATGCACGCAGATTGCCCTTTCCGAAGGCAGAACACCGGATACGTGGTCATCCGGATAAAGAGCCAATCCGCGCGCGCCAAAAAATCGAGGCCGCAACTTCAACCAATCACACGGCGCGAATCCAATCTTTTTTCCGACCGCCGAATGCTTGTGGGATGCACCAGGACGCTGACGCTGAGAAGCCACGATCACAGGCGCACCAAAGCAAGTGCAAGCAATAGACAGAGCAACCCACGCGCAGTACGATGCCGTCCAAGGGACTTTTGCTCATCCGTACAACCACGCGTGGTAAAAACCTATCATACCGTGCATCCAATCGCGCGGCCAACTGCCTGGCCTCAGAGTCGCGCGGTGTCGATACCGGAGTGGCGTCACGCACGCTGCAAGGCCCATCCCCGATGGAATCTGACCCGTACCAACGCCAGCAATGCCATGCCGAACCACAGAATATGATATGTTGTCAGATCGTGATTCGTACCGGAAAGGTCGTTTACTAACTATTTTTGTTTTACGCACCGTAAAGAAGGACGTCAATGGTTACGCATCATATAGGACTCTGTCGAGCTCTGGAATACGCTGCGCGCAGGACGCTCTCAGAGCAATTAGAGTTGGCGACGAAATGCGATCAGAAGACAATGAGATCGGATTGGCGTTCAGAGCCTCTGCTTTCGTGCTCTGATTTCAGTTTAACAAATGACCAGTCTTCGTCAAGAGAGTTCGTACGCGTGGCACTGAAACTGGCATTAACGTTACGGGTTGGTGTTCAGGAGGACAGCAGAAGAGATAAGGTCTGCACGAGGATGAGAGGGTGCGTCGGAACCTTGCACCTGAGATCTGAAGCGCGCACGGCTTTGGCTCGTGGATGATGACGCGAACGAGGTTGACGCATCACTTTTCAAGCCGACTTGACGGTGTGAGATCTACGCCAATTATTGCACCTTGGCGCCAATGGACCCACAACCACACCCCCAATTACCAGGTACTCGGCTGCCGACTAGACAAGACGGTTGGTTCCTGATCACAAAGATCGTGACAGACGCTTGCAAAGCACAGCTAGCATGCAGTGTTGAGCATCGTCGATCAAGACAATTGCGTACTCGTACGCAGTCTCGTTATACAAGTTTGGACCAAGACGATGCTCAAATTTTGTCCAGTTCTACAATCCCATATAGTGGATTCGTGCAAGTGTCCATGGTGCGATCTCGGTCACGCACCTACCCCTAGGTACAATCATCTGTGTCTCGGGCGCCTCCCGCCATACACAAGCGGGCCGAGTCCAACTTCTACAGCGCGCGTGAGCCAGGTGGCGATACAAGACGGTGGCGGCAGAGAGATGCCCGCAGGCTGGCACAGATCACATTCTACTTACGACGGCAAGAGCATGAAGAGCAGCGCGTGTGGCGGTGGCATCCAAGTACGCAGCGCGTGCTCGAAAGCACTCTGGGTCCACGACCAAGCGCGGCCGCACTGCAACAGCTGCAACACCAAGTTTACGTTTCTGCGGCGGCGCCACCACTGCCGCGTCTGCGGCGAAGTCGTGTGTTCCAAGTGCTCGCGCACCGTGTACCTTGTCAACACGAGCTCCAACGTCGGCTTGGCGTGCATCGAATGCGCCATCCCGCTGGCCTCGCCGCGCGCCACCAACGACTTCGACGAGCCGCACAGCTGGGGCACGCGCCCGACCTGCCCGACGTTCTTGAGCACGCTCGAGCGTCAGTCGCTGGGGCAGCTGCCGCCCGAAACGCCCGAGTGCGCGCTCTGCATTCGAGAGCTGCAAGGTCCTCGGCGGGTGCTGCAACTCCCGTGTCACCATGCCTTCCACGACGCCTGCCTCTTGCCGTGGCTCAAGACCCACGACGCGTGCCCAAGCTGCAGCTGCCAGCTCCCGCGCGATACGACGGCAACCGCCGCAAGCCTCTTTACGTAGTCTTAGTCTCTATAACTTATAAGGATGTAGCAAGTGCATGCGTCGTTTTCGTTCGAACGACACTGAATCCATGTCGTGAAGCTGCTTGAACCAGAGGCCCCTGGTTCAAGCAGGTACCCCTGGCTTGAACCGAGGAAGTACAGAGTGAATTACTTGAATAAAATTAAAGCCGTCATCTCAGGCCTTGATGCTGTCCGTGAGTTATGAATGGAGCAGCTCGGCGTCTTCGACTGGGCCGTCGACGAATGGGCCGGATCCTCGAGCCGTGGTTGCAGTCGGGCCACGCGACGCACCTGCGGTACCAAAGCAACGCGCGTTGCCTCAGCGACAACTCGACACGTGGCATCGCGCTCTCTCTCGCACCTGGCCGTTATTGCTGACGACGACGAAGACCTCGATCCGCTGGTCGACGCCAGCGCTTTGACAACCTCGCACCCTTAAACATTCGCGTCGGGTTTGCCGGTCCGTTGGGTAAAGTGTACTCGATCGCGCTAGCCCCGACGTGCTTTTGTCCCTCACTATCTCGTGCAACGACGACATCGACGTCCTCCTCGAAATGCTGCAGCGCTTCTCGGCCCTCCAAGAGCTCAAGCTTCTCGGGACCGCGTTCGATGCAGTCGCACTACCGCTGACGACCACGGCGCGTCCGTTGGCACTGACGTCGCTCACGCTCCACGGCGTCGAGCTCTCGGCCAGCGCTTACCTTGCGCTTGATGCACTTCTTGCCAACGCGCCTCAGCTCCAGACACCGTCCTTTGGGGCCACCTGCTGTATAAACGATGATTCGTGCGATTCTATCGCATCTTCATGCGCCGACTCGATCCGCAACGGCGTGCGTGAGATCGATTTCGTCGACTGCAAGTTGACAGACGGCTTGGGGACGCAGCTGGCCTACTACGCCCTCAGCAGCGTGACGAGCCCGTTGGGCGTCAAGATCAGCTGGATCAACAACAAGTTCAGCGACGACGACGACGTGGCGCTTCTGGACGCACTCTACACGTGCACGCGCATTGTCCTCTTCCTGAATTGGTATTGGCTCGTGCAACAAACGATGGTTGATATTGTCCAATATCATTTGATGATTCTTGTGCAGACGGACCATGCTGCATCGACCATGTCAAAACCAACACGAATAGGTAGTCAAATGGATGCGAAAATTGAGATTATTTGGAAGGGTTGAGTTTCTTTGAGTTGAGCTTGAGTTTCAGAAAAACAGATTCGCCTTGCAGTTCGCCTTGCAGTTGCAGTCTTGCGTCGTCGAAGCATGAGCAACGCCAAGCGCCACGCCAAGGCGCCGACGCCCGTCGAGGCGCTCGACCACGTACAAGAGGCGATCGTCAAGTGCTTGGAGACGCCCGACGACGTCGTCGCCTTCCTCGACGCGCTCTCGCCGCACGCCCTCTGCGAGCGGCTTGCCGCCTTCTTGCCACTGCTTTGCGAACCGGGCGACGACATGTGGGACGCTGACGACGAGGCGGCGGCCCTCGTCCGGCTCTGGCCGAGCTTTGCTGGTCTGGACCACGTGCTCATTGGCATCCTCAAGTGGCTCAAGACACCCCAGGAGGTGCTTGCCTTCCTTGAAGGCATCGATACGCCGACGCTCGGCAAGCCGCTCGTCGCGCTCTTGCGGATGCTGCGCGCTCCGCTGAACGTCGTGAAAGATGTTGACGAGGAAGATTCGGCCCTGGACGAAGATTCGGCCCTGGACAAGCTGTGGCCTCTGTTGAAGCTGGACTGGGTCTGTGATGCGTCCACCGGCCTCGTCGTCGAAGCGCTGCCAGCCTTCCACGCCATCGAGATTGGCAATCCGTATTTTTGGACGTTCACGCCACCTGGCCATGCGCCGTGGGACATTGAATTTGGCGCGTTCGAGTGGCTTGTCGATGCGTACGGACGCAAGATGACGCACCTCAAGATCGACGCTTCTTTTACGAAGTAGACGAGGATGGCGACGTCATGTGCTCGGTATTGCGGCGGTGCACCAGTCTCAGCGTCGTTTCCGTCCACAACACTGATTTCGACTTGTCCGTCGTCGCGGCGGTGACGACCCCCGCGCACACCGTCTCGTCGCTGAGCATATCGTCGTACCGTACCGGACCGCGGACAAGTGGGCTGCGGTCCTCGAGCCGTGGCTGCAGTCGGGCCACGCCACGGACCTGCGGTATCAGACGAACACGCGTTTTGACGACCGTCATAGCCATAGCTCGAGCGTGGGCATCGCGCGTATCCTTGCTGCCGCGAGCTCTCTCACGCACCTGGTCCTGATTGCTACACACAATGAACTCAATCCGCTCGTCGACGCCAGTGACTTGCATTTCGACAACCTCGAGACCTTGGGCATTAATGTCAAGTCTGGCGGACGCTTCATCCACAGCGTCCTCGATCGCGTCAACTCGCCCATGCTGACGTCGCTCACCATCGCGTGCGAGGACGATGACCTTAGCTTCCTCCTGGACATGCTACCGCGCTTCTCGGTTCTCCGAGAGCTCAAGCTTCTCGAAGGCTTTTTTGACGAGGTTGCGCGGCCGCTAGCGGCCATGGCGCGTCCGTTGGCACTGGCGTCGCTGACGCTCCACGACGTTTGGATCTCAGCCAGCGCGTTCCTCGCGCTGGACGCGCTTCTTGCCAACGCGCCTCGCCTCGAGACGCTGTCGTTTGGGAGCAGCTACGGTCGGAACGATGCTCTCGATGCTTCGGGCAAATCTGTCAAATGGATGTTGCCGGGCTGGATCCGCAACGGCGTGCGTGAGATCCATCTCGTCGACTGCGAGTTCCCCAAGGGCTTCGGATCGCAGCTGGCCCGCGCCCTCGGCGGCATGACGAGCCCATGGGGCGTCAAGATCGCCTTGGTCGGCAGCACGCTCAGCGACGACGACTACGCGGCGCTTCTCGACGTGCACGGGTGTCAACCTCTTCTTGGATCCGCACTGGCCGCAGATGGCGATCGAGGCGGCCAAGCGCAACCTTGCTCTCGACGACGTCGATTTCAATCTGGCGTACGATTTTGACGAGATCCAGCCGTTCGAGAGCGAAGTTGACCTAGATAGTAACTACGATCCGCTGCCCAAAGGCTGCTGTAACGCCGTCCGCGTCATGCGTCGTCCGTAGTGCTCATGGCGTGTCTCTTTTGGTTCGTTTCCCAAACAATAATTGATATTTTCCTATGGCACTTGATGTTTCTTGTGCAGACATCGTCTTTTGACGCATGCGCACCGTCCATCCAACGCCCTTTTGCATCGCTCACCAAACAATTCCCGTTCGACCTGCCGTTCGACGCTCGTTTACGTTATTTGGTCTTTTGGTTGGTCTCGGGGTGGAGCACTTGATACAAAAGCAGCGACGTCGCCGCGGCAAACGAGAGACCTCCGAGATACCCCAAGAGCTCCAGTCCGTTCCAGTGGGTTTCGCTCGCGTGAAAAAAGCTGCTCAGTTCGTAGCCAATGGCCGGAACGAACGACGACGCCTTCCAGCGCATCGACCGTGGCGACGTCGGGCGCGGAATGATGTTGCGGTCGTAAATGCACTCGTAGCCGCGGTAGTTGCTCAAGATCTTGGACGGCTTGGTCAGCTCGTGCGGGCCTGGCGTCGGCAAGAGCTTGTCATAGAATCGCTGGACGATCGCGGCCGTCGCGGCGGTAGAGTACTCGTCGTTGAGGGCCAAACACACCTCTTTGCCGCGCCCTTGTAGCACGCGCGAGAACACGGCGTTCATGTCGGCGTGGGCTTTGGCGCCGTCCGCGAGCCGCACGAGAAGCCAAGTGTCGGTCGACTCGGAGGTTGGGTTGAGCGTATACGGCACGCCGAGCGCCTTGGAGCCTTCTTCAATCATGTAGATTGCATGCAGCAGCGGGAAGTTGAGGTCGGACGGCGACCGCACTTGGTTGGTTCCCGTCGCATCGAGCGCCGCTTTGAACGCGGGCTTGGTGTGAATGGCCTCTTGGGCGAGGCGAGAGTACACGAACGGCGCGTGCTTCATAAAGTTGTACACGTGCTGGCCGCCGTAGACTGCGTCGGTGAGCTGCAGCGTGTTGCGAACGCTTGCGAGCCATGCGTTGGCGCCCTAGCCCAAATGTCATGCAGGGCAATATGTAGGGAAGATGGAAGCGTACGTCGGCGGGACGTGGCGAATGTGGTTGACTTCGGTGAGCATGCGGATACCGCCACCGTGGCACGTGAAGAGGTGCGACGGCTGGACGTCCTTGACAAATATGTAGTCGTCGTTCATGTGGATGAAGATGTCGGTGAGGCCCGGGATCTTGTGCAGATACTGCTCGATCACGTTCGTGTCAAAGTTGGGCAGCGTGACGACGTCCGATGGCAGCAAGTCGTCCTGGTCGATGACGGTAATGCGCGGATTGGTCGTGTCGAGCCAGTCGGGAATCTGCCCGGGCGACACAATGTAGATCGGGCCCTAGCATCCGGTGAGCACGGCCAAGTCACGACGCGAGAAACCTCGAGCCATGGCGCAAACTTGAGCAGCGACCGCAGCGAGTACTTGAGCTCGCCAATCTCCTTGTCGCGCGAGCTACCGCCCTCCGAGAGCCCGGCCTGCACGCGCCGCTTGTTGTAGCACGGCTCGTTGCCGTTGACCCACGTGTAGACGATCGCGCTGTGGCGGAGCTGCTCGAGGTTCTCGACGGGGCAGCCCTCCGAGGAGAGCTCGGACCAGGCACCGACGACCTCGGACGTCGGCGCCTCCAGCAGCGACAGCGCCGCCACGAGCATGAAGACGACGAGGATGTACGAGAGCGCGGTCGTGTAGCGCATGCTTCGTCGGCTTGGCAAATGGAAAATCTGGCGCTGCAAAAGTTAAAATAAAATAAAATAACACCTGTTCGAGGATCGAACATCGCTTGCACGGAAGGATGGAAGGACTTCCGACGGTCCGCCCGCCATCGGTTGGCCTGCGGCGGTACTAGCACTACCGGCGCATGGACGCAGTCATCCACGAGGCCATAGAGAGAGTCGCGGCGGTAGCTGCCAAGCGGTGGGCCCGGGCGAATCCGAGCTGGACAATGCCAGGTCATCGCCTGCCACCATCGCCACTCGCGACCTCGGCGTGCCACCATCGCCACTCGCGACGTCGGCCTCGCCACGCATGGATGCATGCACTCAAGTTGATGGTCGTCTTTTCGCATTTATCGACGACGCATTTAGCATTTATCGACGACGAAAGCTAAGGAAAATGGACCTCTCTAGACGCGGTCGTACGCGGGCGTCGACGACTTGAGCTTCTTGCTCTCAAAGAGCGCAGCGTAGACGACGTAGACGAGGACGAGGCCAAAGCCAAAGCCACAGCCCTTGAGAACAGCGTTAAGAAAGACGACCCAGCGCACTTCGCGGCGCACGACGACCTTGAACCTCGTGCTTTGGTCGACCGCCTCGGCCATTGGTGGCAGAATCGTCGGGTCGTAGTGGCATGTCTTGGTGTACACGGAGAGGTGCTTGTTGGGCTCCTTGGCCTCAAACGGGCTCGGCTCGGGCAGAAACGTGTTAAAGAACCAGCGCGCGTTCTCCGCCACGGCCATGTCGCTGTACTCGTCGTTGAGCGCGAGGATCTTGGCGTCGTACGTGCCGGCAATGACCTCGTCGAAGATGCTCTTGACCTTGGGGATGTTGCCATTCTCGAGCATGATGAGCTGGTACCCCGTCATCTCTTCCTGCGGCGGGATTTCAATCGGGATGCCGAGCTCCATCGCGCCTTGGGCCTGCATGTAGTAGTGATGCAAGAGCGGGATGTTCATGTCGGGCTTGCTCCGGAACTTGCTCTTGAGCGTCATGTACATGGGTCGGTCAAAGATCTGGTGGATGCGCTCGAACGCGCGCCGGCTGTAGATGAACGGCGCGTGCTTGATGAAGTACCGATCTTCTTGGCCCCAGCGGAGGTCCATCTCTTGCTGTGTGTTGAGCACCGACGCGACCCAGATGCCCTTCTTCTCGGTCGGCGGCTCGTGCGCAATGAGGCCGGGTTCGTGCAAGAGGCTGATGCCACCGTCGCACGTGAAGAACTCGTGCGGCGCGATGTGCTTGGTGAAGATGTAGTCGTCGTTGATCTGCATGTAAATGTCCGAGAGGCCCGGAATACGGTAGAGGAACTGCTCGATGACGTGCGTGTTGAAGGACGGCAGGAACGGCTTGGCGTACGACGGGAACAAGTCGTCTTGGTTCACGACCTTGATGCGCGGGTGGTCGAGGTTGATCCAGCTCGGAATGTGCCCCGGCGAGACAATGTAGATGTTGCCTTCGTGCCATGGCATGAACTTGATGAGCGACCGGATCGAGAACTTGAGCTCGCCGATCTCGCGGTCGCGCGACCCGCCGATCGCATTGTCGCCGCCATGCTTCTTGCGGATGTCGCGGTAGCACGGCTGGCTGCCGTTGACCCACGTGTACACGATCGACATGCGCTTGAGCGCGTCAAAGTTCTGGATCTGGCACTTGTCCGGGTACAAGTCGCGCGAGTCGGCCGAGATCGACTGCGCCGCAATGTCCTTGTACAAGGTTTCGCTCGCCGTCGCCTCGAGGCAGAGCCCGAGCACATACACGGCGAGCATGCCCACGACGCAGTAGCCGAGCACGGTGTTGCGCTGCCAGAGGACGCGCGCCCGCGCGGCCATCGGCGTCTGCATGCTGCTTCTTGGCCGCCAAACCCCAAGTCTGGGATCTCGCTACGTTCGGAATTATATTATTCGATGCTTTTTGGCCAATCATCGGCGTCGACGCCACCACGCTGTTGATTTGGAAAACGTATGGGTAGCCAATTCGCCGCCGTCGTCGACCGCTTGAAACACGCAACTTGAGGCGCCCTTTCCTCAGTTCCGCCAAGCACGCCCGCGTCGTACAAGTCGACAATCCTCGCACAAGATGGTGCCTCGAGTGTGACACCGTTGTAAACGTGCATTGAAACGATGCAGGCCGCCTTCCAAGCCATGACAATGGGCGAAACGCAAAATGGCGTGCGAATAGCGCTACGTCCTCGGGTACTGTTTCGTACAGCGCTGAAACATCGAAAATGGAACGCAAAATGTACGAAAGATTGGTTCGAGATTATTCCTCAAATTGATATACATGTTTACTCGAGGCGCGTGACCATCTTCCGCTTCCGGCGCCAGCGCCAGCGCATGGACGAGAGGTGCACGTCGCTCTCGCCGTCCTCGTCGTCGCCTTCGTTGAAGCACACGTTGTCGAGGAGGCTGTACAGCGTCGGGCCATACCGCTCGACCATCCAACTCACAAAGAGCGATCCGAACTTGCCGTTGCGGTCCATCGTGGGCACTTGTTCGAGGATGTAGGCGGCGAAGCAAATGAGGTAAAAGTACCGCTCGAGGTAGTTGACTACAAATGAAAAAGATGATGCGACCGTAACGCCATTTGAGGCGCGTCGTACCGGCACGGTGCATGTAGAAGCTCTGCTTCTCGGCCGTGATGCCGCGCTCCTTGGTCAAGTCGCGGCACTGCGCAATGCACTCGCGGAGGTTCTGGAGGTGTTCGCACTGGTCGATCGCATAGTCGGCCAGCGCTTTGCTAATACATCGTCGATTTCAATCTTTCAAGTCGAGACAGGTACCTCTCGGCGCCGTTCTCGAGCACGTCGACGAGCGACTGGATCACAAAGTAGTCGCCGCTCTTGGCGTAGCTGTGGTACGCCTTCTCGGCCGCGGCCGCCATGTACACGGACTTTGGCGTCGTGAGCGCGACCTTGAGCATGTACACGCAGACCATCGCGGACGTCGTGCGACCGCGCCCCATCTGGCAGTTGCACACGACCGCCGTCTCGTCGACGCCGAGGGCGGCTTCGGCCGCAAACGTCGGCACGACAAGGCGCACGATGTCGTCCAAGTCCTTCTCTTCTGGCGCCGTCTCGTCCGACACCTACCCCAATCAGGTGGATAAGCTGCCATCCTCCCAATCCCAATAAAAAAGCGTACGGGAATGCGGGCGTAGCGCACGGGCAGCGTCTTGGCAATCTTGGCGTAGACGTCTGCGAGCGTCTTGACGTCGGCCTGCGGACGGATGTAGACCATTTGCTCTTCGTCCGGAATGCCCACTTCTTGGGCCCTACAAGAACATATATAGATATATGTGGGAAAGGATATCGAGCGGTACCAGTAGAGGAAGAGGCCGTTCTTCTGCGTTGCTTCGGCGATCGTATTGTCGCGGAACTTGGCTTCGATGGCTGCGAGCTCCGTCGCTTCAATGCCCGGCAGCTCGACGTTTTCGCCGAATTTCGGCGGGTACCGAATCGCGTACGGCTTGCCGGCGACGTACAAGACGACCTCTTCGCGCATGTTCATCCAAATGATCTGCTTGAAGCCGATCGTCTGGTGCAAGTGCGCCGCGACCTGCTGCAACCCCGCTTCAAAGCACTAGTTCATACAGCGTTTTGAGTAGTCCGGAGAGGCTAAGGACAGTACCTGGGCCGTGCCAAAGACGCACGACGTGCCAACGCGACGGTAGTTGATGACAGCCGTCCCGAGGCTCGGCGGCAAGCGCACGATGCCGGGGAAGTGGTCGTACTTGACAACCGCGTTCTTCATGACCGAGTCGTAGTCGTACTTGGCGCCCCCCATGTCGTCGAGGAGGCGGAAGAGGTTCGAGTGGTGGTGCATCCACGACGTGAACGATTTGGTTGTCGCTTCTTGGTCGAGCACGAAGGACCCATACGCGATGAGGAGGAAGTAGCGCTCGAGGAACGAGCACGCTTGCTTGAGGTAGAAGGCGCGGCGCACGGGGATCGGGTCCGTGAGCGATTTCTATCGAAATATCAAGATATCAAGATATCGATTCAAAACGCGTGCAAATTGTACTTGGTTGCAGTCCGTGATGGCCGACCGAATGTTGTAGATGAACGCACAGTTGTCAATGACCGCGTCGGCAAAGGGCTTGGCCGTCGTCGCGTGCGGAATGCGCTTGACGAGTTCGCGGATGACCTACGCCAAGACGTATCAATCTCGCTACCGTTGAAAGTACCTTGTACTCTTCTTCGGGCGGCACGTTGCCGTGGTGCTCGGACGCGGCAATAACCTCGTCTGGGCAGTGCTTGTTGATGGCCAAGGCAGCCACAACCATCGCTACACATATGCACGTCACGCACTCCATTAAGCGACGACGAGCAATCGCATACCCGTCGTCGTGCGCCAGCGACCGAGCTAGTCACGTCACCGATGCTGAGACTCGGCGATTCGAGAAAATGGCTACCTGGCAGTTGAAGACAAGGGCCGTGTCGGCGCTGCGGTGGTCGAGCAGCCCCGTGAGGAGCTCAAAATGTTCGTTCTCGGGGGCGTTGTCGCGCGAGATGGGCACGCGGAGGTACTTGACGGTCTCGATGCCCGCTGGCTTGTCCAAGAGGCCGTCAAACACGTTGGCGAGCGTTGCAACCTAGTGCCATCGGTCTTATCCCAGACACCTTGGTATGGGCGTCGTACGTCGGTCGGGAGCGTCCCGATGCGCGACACCATCTCGTACTGCAGCGACGCCGGCTCGGTCCAATACTCGAACGTGCCATTCGGCTCCTTCTCGAGCTGCTCTTGGAGGCTGCGCTTGAGAGACTTTTCAAGCACTTGGACTGTGTGGCCCGTGAGCGACCCCGCGAGGTCCTGCTCGTTCGAGTTGACGTTGCGTCGCGCCGTGTACGACTCGCCACTGACAAAGAGCACCGCTTCCTACGGCCACATCCATCAACCTCTGGCTATAGTAGCGAGCGTATCGCACCTCGCGCAGGTTGACCCAGATCACGTGCTTGTAGCCATCGGTTGCGATCGTCTCCAGGATGTGGTGGATACCAGCCTATGCACGCTTGCGTCAGCATCGACTCAATCTCGCAGTCGGTTGTACGAGCGAGGGCTGGGCGCCGCCGTAAATGGGCAGCCCGGGCAGCCGGCGAAAGTTGGGTGCAATGTCCTTGTGCGCCGAGACGAGCGTGATCTGGTCCGGCATGCGGTCGCTCTTGAGGATGTACTTGCCGAGGACCTTGGTGCCTTGCGCCTGGAACCGGTTGGAGCGTACGATGCTGCCGCGCTCGATGCGGCCGCGGATGTGCGCTTGGATTTTCGTGGCCGCGATCGCCCAGTGCGACTGCGACTTGAAGCGTGTGAGCTCGAGCTTGGACGACTCGACTTGCTCGTGCATGTACTCGAGCTCGGCCTGGATCGGTGCGAGGAGCTCGCGGAGCGCGCGCTTCGGATCGCGTGCGGCCGCGACCTCGGGCGCCCGCGCAATGATCGTCTCCAGGAGCGCCTTGTCCATCGGCGTCATGTTGGTCAGCGTTTCGTCCTCCGCCATCGGTTCGATGCGATTCCCAGATGTGGCCGTTTCGTCGTGGCCCGCGAGCTTGAAGAGATCGCGCAGCTTCCACACGCGCATGGGGATGGGAGGCGGGCGATTGGCAAATGGCGCGGGCGTCGCAGGCCACGGGGCTGTCTTTGCGCCGACGCACCACTTCTCGCATATGTCTCACTACGGTAGCCCGCGACCGACGCCAAAGACGCGCAACGGCCCAGCACCGACCTGTAGAGGCCCTTGCTTCAACGCAAGGGCAACTCTGTTGGTGGGCCCACAGTGGTGGCGTCCTCCGACAGCAGACCGGCGCACCTACTACTAGTACTTACTTCGTGGGCACTTGGCACCTGGGCACGGGCAAGCATATCTGGACGAGCGGTGGATTACGATTCGCGAGCATGGACGAACATGGCGGGTGGCGCAACTGTCTGCATGTACCACGTCGAAGTTACGCTGCTTGCGTATCTTTTGATCGGAGCTGTCGAATCTGGCGGTCTTTCCACGTGCGACAAGCCAAGGATGACCGCCGGCACCGAGCCCGTCAACGCTCCGTTCTTGGCCTTGACAACCTCGCCGCAGGTCGGCAGCCGTTGTATCGGTCAGCGTGGATCTGGATGCAGCTGGCCTCCGCAATGTTCTCTGCAGTAGAAGCTATATCACCTCGTCGATCAACCAACCCGACAGAGGCGGCCGGTCGTGGACCCATGTTCTAGAAAGAGCTATGACCGGGCTACTAGGGTGCTAGAGTACCGGTATAGACACTGCGACGACGGACCCAACTGGTGCCGGCACGTCCCTTGCAGTAGCTATCCCTTGCCACCTCGGCCTGCATGAGAGGCTGGTCGGAGTACTATTTGAGACAGTCCTGTGTCTAGCGCCTGATATGAGAAACAATTGATAAAGCTTATGTGATCCATCACAAGCGGTATTACTTGCATGCGATTGGTGCAATCGCACCTTGGATTATAGCCAATGGCCGTCGGAGTTTCTAAATGGCACGCATGCAGCACCACGACGTCGGCGTCCTCCGCGGCCACAAGCGACCCGTCAACTGCTTGGCCAAGTGCTTGAGCGGCGCGCCCGACCTGCTCGCGTCCGGCAGCCAAGACAGTACGGTTCGCATCTGGGATCTGCGCACAAACAAGGTGGCGCAGTGCATCACGCAAGTGTTTGCAGGCGACGCCGTGAGCTCGGTCGCGTTTCCTTCGGCCACGGACCTCTACGTGGCATCGCACAACCAGCTCTACACGTTCGACCTGCGCAATACGGGCATGATTGTGAAGGAAGCAACGACGATCTTGGAGCCGGCGGCCGACGAGATCAACACGCTCGCGGTGCATCCGTCGCATGCCAAGAAGCCGTGGCTCGCCGTGCCCGACGACGAAGGCGAGATTGGCATCGTCAACCTCCAAACAAAAGCGCTGCAGACGACGCTGCGCGGCCAGCACACGAACCTTTGCATGTCGGCGGCCTTCCGCCCCAAGTGCGCAGGGTACGACCTCGTCACGGGTGGCCACGACTGCCAGCTCGTCTTTTGGGAAATGAACGGCGACCGGTGCACTGGCCGCATGCGCGCCAAGCTCAGTATGCAAGACATCATTGGCGACGATGCGCTCGCCGATGGCACGCAGATGTGGAACCCACCGTTCGTGTACGACGTGGCCTTCAACGCGGCCGGCCGATCGTTGGCGGCCGCACTCGGAGATGGATCCGTCGTGCTGCTCGACTTCGCCTCGCGTAGCCTCCAGCGACGACTCACGGCCCATCGTGCGGTGGCAACCTGCGTCGAGTTTGCGGCGTGGCAAGGGAAGGAGTACCTCATCTCGGCCGCCAACGACGCCACGGTGTGATCTCTTACTGGTGAAGACGAACTTAATGACGATATGGCTCCTGTAGGTTGCGATCTGGGACTACAAGGCTGCGATCCAGAGCGCGGACGAGGCGGCGACGATGGTTCCGCTGGCCAACCGACCGAATGCGATCGCCACCCACGTCAACGCAAACGGCTGCACGCTCTATGTCGGCGACGACCGCACGGCTACAATCGCACTGATCCAACTGCACTAATTCAACACGCGTCCTGTGTCTCGCGTCTCGTCTTCGATCGCGTGGAGGACATGCTTCCTGCCGTCGGTACTTCAACCTGGCAAGCGTGGCATGTGCCACCACTTGCCACAACTACCCCCAAACAAGGTGGACAGGCCACAAATAACCACAAACAAGGACGCGATCTTGCACTACCTTGCCATTCTGGAATCCGCCGAGCAGCGAGCAAGATGCAAGAAAACAAGGAGAACGTGACGACGAACAGCCAGCTGGGCGACGCCATGGGCGCGACGCAACCGGCGGGAGCCCCCGCGGCCGCACCAGCGTTTGGGTACATCTTCCCGGGTTGCACCAAGCCCCTCGACGAGATGACCCAGGACGAGATCGAAGCCGGCGTGCGCGCGGGCATCCTACCACCCAAGGTACATACGCTTGCGAAGGCGACACGCATTGAAGCAGGGCGTCCCATGTAGGCCTTGTACCCGACCGCGGTCAAGATCATAAAGGCGCCGTTGCCGGGCACGACCAAGCCGATTGCACCGACACCGCCGGGCGTCTTCAAGGTGTTTTTGTACCTCATTGACGAGCTCGCCAACGAGGCCATCGTCGCGGACCCGCATGGCATCTACCCGCTTGAGTTTGAAGGCATCGACAAGATCGTACAGCTTCACTCGGCGTTTCCGGAGGCGATCTGGGAGTTGTAGTCGGTGCCACTTGCAAAAGGGATTGATTGCGACCTCGTCGTCTTTGCATCTCGTGCAACGAGTGTCGTCTAACGTGTCAACGAGACGTGTGTGTGTGTGCGAGCTCCTCTCTTCCGGTGCACCGGGCATGTCCTTCAGCACCACCTCTTCCTTGCCGGACCCATGAAGCGTCGGGATGAAGCAGGTCGATGAGGGGACACAGAACATCACAGTAGATGGAAAACTTCGGCGCATCTTACTACTAGAACAGTAGCAAGTTGCTCCTGCGTGCGCAGGTGCCTCACCTTCTTCAGAAGCAACAAAGCATACTTAGCCACTTGCTCAATCCATTGTCTTAGCATGGGACTGCAATACCACTAGTGCGCAACAGACTACGCGTATGCGAGAGAGAGATTGGAGTTCATCCTGCCAACGGCTTTGTCAGCCACGTTGCAAGCCTGCAGTGCACCACCTTTGTACCTCACATCACTGGTCTGAAGCTGGTGGTCTTGCAGCTCCTCTTGGTCATGACGCTGAGCTCCATTATGCACCTTCGAGACCCATGGCATCGGCAGCAGCGAGCACGAGGCAAGAACAGTTCCCGCCAAAGCGCGGGAAGCTCGTCGGTCGCCGAAGCCCGCGTATTATCCGGTCGGCAAATCTTCCGGATACGGGCACTTGACGGTTGCCCGCCAGTCCCATTTGCTGGATGCATCGGCGAATTGGGTCGAGCCTCATGCGCATCTACGACAACACATGCTTGACGCGGCGCGTGGCCGGCGAAGCGCCGATCGCACTCGTCATTCTCAACGGCACTGGCCTCGTCAAAGGCTTCGAGGCGCTCTGGCCGCGGGCGACGATCACCATCTGCGCGGATGGCGGCGCCAACAAACTCTACGATACGTGGCGCGCCTCGGGCAAGGACGAGCCGTGGATTCCGCAGTACGTCAAGGGCGACTTGGACTCGCTGCGGCCCGACGTGTCGGCGTTCTTTGAGGCGAGAGGTACTGTTATCATCAAGGACCCCGATCAGGACACGAACGACTTGGACAAGTGCCTTGCGCTGCTCGAATCGCTTCAAGCGAGCATGCCCAGCAACGATGACGGCGATGCGTCGGCGGCCAAGCTCAAGGTACTCATGCTCGGCGCGATGGGCGGTCGGTTCGACCAAGAGATTCAAAACATCAGCGCGCTCTACCGCTGGTACGGCTGATGCATACATGTACGTCGTCGTCTGAGCGAGCAAGCGTAGGTCCCACGTCTTTGAGAGCATGACGCTCTTCTCCGACCATACGTCTGTGATGCTCTTGCCGCCTGGAAAGCATTGCATTCGACCCAACTTTGACATTGAGTCGCGGACCTGTGGCCTCATTCCGCTCAGTACACAGCAGCCTGCAGTCGAGCGTGGCTGATGCGTCAATGTAGGTGGCACGTGCAAGGCGCTAACGACGCAAGGCCTCAAGTGGGACATGACGGACTTTGAGACTGCCATCAGTGGCTTTGTGAGCAGCTCCAACCATTGCCTCGCCGACGAGATCATTGTCGAGAACTCGGACCCGCTCATCTGGACCACAGAGATCCGGCCAGACGCCTCCAGCTAAGTTTGTGGGTCGATAAGAAGGCGATTGAGTGGATTCGGCTTTGTCTTGCTCCAGCGAGGTTGCAGCGGCAACGAAAGATTTTCACGTGCGTGTGAAATGCTTTCGTGAAAAACGATTGTATTGGCTCGTCATTCTAGAACTGGCCAATCAGACGCATCGCCACAAGCCGGCAGCGTATTTTGAGATGGCCCGCGACCTTGGCGCGACCGCCACGCCTCCTTGTGCACCCAACGCAACACCTTCGCCTACCTCACGCTGCAGCTCTGTCGACCAAGTCGCCATCCGTGTGGCCGTGGCATGGGTTAAAAGCCCTTAGCTCTGGCATGGAGTGGCTCAACACACTCGGCTGTAGGGACATTCTTACATTAGCTAGAGGTCGTACTTGATCGTAGCCACTGCGTATAGCAACCTAAAGATGGTGGGCGTCGCGGTCAAAGGCGATGTCGCGACCATACGTCGGCTCTTGGCGGCCGGCGTGGATCCCAACACGACCAAAACCGCACGGAGTTGACTTCCTACACGTCATCGAAGGGTGGTCCTAGTGGTTTGGCGCAACGGCTCTGGCAATGGCGGTGACCGAAGGCCATGTCGACGTCGTCGAGCGACTTGTTGCGGCGAGCGCAGACGTCAATCAGCGGAGTCTTATATTGGCGTCAAGAAGCGAGTGGTCATATTTCCATTGGTCTCATAGGGCACGAGCTACGTGACGCTCCTGACATTAGCTTCTTTCATCAATCACGTTCATATCGTCGATCAACTGCTGCGTGCAGACACAGACGTGAACCAGCCTTCGCTGCAGATACGTCCACGAGTCGCAATCTTGCAACGCTGGGATAGTACACTGAACAGGGGTTCAAGACACCGCTGTCCACTGCCACGAGTGCTGGACATCGTGCAATCGCCCAGCGACTGATTGTTGCAGAGACCGACATCAGTTTTAGTCAATGACGTACGTCGCGCATGCCCATAATATAGGTGTCTGCTACATACTAGTACTAGTATTCAATTCCAGCGGTTTAAAGGAAGGAAGCTCGGTGGTGCACCTGGCCGCAGAATATGGCCGAACGGAAGTTGTCACAACCTTGGTCGCTGCGGGTGCTGACGTAAACGGCTATGATCACGCCCTTTTGCTATGTTGCTATTGTCAACGAAGACTGACTGTGCTTGTAGGACGGTGACTCGATGCTTCGAGCGGCCGTAACCAGTGGTGAGACCGGTACAGTCGCCGCAGTCCTCGCTGCAATGACTGGTGCCACGCTTGCCTCCGATGTAATATCATGACCTTGAAGAGGTGGTCCATTGCCCACTGCGAGTAGCATTGTCTTCTGGCGGAAGCCAACTGAGACCAAGACATTGCGCGTCTGTAAGGCCTTCCAATAGCAGATCCAAGTCAATTTTACGCTTTCCTTGACACAGCACCTTGACAACACGAAAAGTAAGCCTCTTACTGCGCTTCAAACGAGGTCAAGGGCCATCCCAAGCTCGGACAGCTCGGACGGCAATTTGACCTCTGATTTGACCTGGCCGTTTTTCGTATAATTTGACCTGGCCGTTTTTCGTATCCGAATTCTCCATTTCATCCGGACACCAAAATTCGCGATGGCCCAGCGACCTCGCCGAGCGCAGGTATCGGTGCTCGATGTTCCGGACGTCCCGGTCCTCGTCGTCCAGTACTCGTCGGCGCCGAGCGATGTCGTCTCGTTCCTTCAAGCGCTACCATTGGTTCTGCGCTCGCCACCGCTGACTGGGCTCCTCGACCTCTTGACGAAATACCATAATGACAGGTCGCTCGAGTCGGACTGGCCCACGCCATGCCTCGATAAAGAGGTCCGCCAAGCCAGGCTCAGATCCATTGTTGCGGCCATTTCAATCTTCAACCGCATTTGCATCGGCGGCGTCAACGTGAGCAAGCGCTGGCCCGCGAGCGCGGACCCTACATTCCGCCTGCCCTTTAGCTGGTTTGTCGTGACGTGGGCCGCTAAGGTGACATCCGTCGACATCTACAACGACATTGACGAGCCCGAGCACCGCGATGAGCTGTGCCGCGTGCTGGCTCGTTGCACGAACCTCAAGGACGTGCATCTTCCGGGCCATCTGGACTTGCTCGAGGCCGTGACGTCGCCGGCGCGCTGCGTCCCGGATCTTCACCTCCGTTGGTATGAATTTTACGATGATATGCAGCCAGCTATTGCGCTGTTGCAGCGCTGGCTTGCCTCTGGCCATGCGCGCCACTTGTTTCTCGAAGGCTTCCTCACTCCGATGGACACCACGGCTCTGGCGCGTGCACTGGCGTCATCGCCCACGCTCTCGAGCCTACGCCTCTTCGCATCCGACCCCGTTGTCAGCAGCATAATCGCCCACGGTGCGATGCTGTCTTCGCTCACGAAGCTTGATGCGTGTGTACATTCGAGCGACTTGATGTCGAGTCTCCTCTCGCTGCTCCCGTTGCCGACGATGAAGGCGCTTAAGGTTAGCGCGTATGAGACGGATCTCAGCGACTGCCTCTTCGATATGCTTCCACAGATGTCGTCGCTCGAGAGCCTGAGCCTCAACACCGTGGAACTCTGCAGCACGACCGTGACTCGTTTCCCTTTCGACGCGCCGTCGGCGCTCCGCACGCTCGCACTGGCCGACGTCAGCGTCTCCGAGACGAATCTGGATGTGCTCTTTCAATGGGCCATAAGCTCCACGCACCTCGAGTCGGTCACGTTCCAATGCTGCGAGTGGATTGGCTCTCGCATGCCGTACGTCACGACGACGGTCCAGCGATGCATTGGCGCCGGCGTTCGATGCATGCGCTTGGAAAACTGCGGCATGAATACACGCCACGTGTCGACGTTGGCCAAGGCGCTGCACGGGACGCAGGTGCGCATCCCTTTCGAGCTCGACCTCTCGAACAACCCATTTCTTATTGCGGGGACCCAAGCCCTGCTCAAAGCGCTCGCAACGTGCACAAACGTGTCGGTCAAGCTCCCATCTGCGCTCGAGTCGCCACTCCAAGACACCGAGCGACTGTACCTCGTCAAAGCACGAGCCGCCGGCGTCACCATCGACGTGCGCGACGAGGACGTTTACATCCACAGCCCAACTGCTGTCAATGCCTAGTTTGAAACTCAAAGTGATCTTCGTATTTTCGTTTCGATTGAATTGCACTGCGCCTTGGAAACACCGTGCGCGTTGGTTTTTGTATCCATGGAATCGAACCGGACCAACCACAATCTGAAGGTGGGAAGCCCTACGATCAGCAAAGCGAATGTGGTTTTTGGCCTGGCCTGAAGAGGTGTTGGCTACTAATGAGTGAAGGGCGGTCGCGCGACTGCTGACCATTGGTGACGACGGTCTCGCTCCTCGCATCATCACTCCTTCACCGTAACACGCCACGTCATTTTTGCCATCCGGATAATAATCACCCCCAACGAGTGTTTACAGTGATCGAGATATATCTTAGCGTCTTGGCCCGACCGAAACAGAGCTTGAATGATCGTATCATTGGCCTGCAGGGATCCTTGATCGTCTCGTAATTGCCGCCGAGTCCGCTCTTGACGCTCTTGATACGTGCAGTTGAAAATATGCAACTCCGTCGCTGACACCATTTTCAACCAATACAAAAATCAAGGAAAGAAAATATGCTGCTGCACGATGTAAATACGCTTGTGACCAATCCCATCCCTCCATTACAATCATTTCGACCAATCCCCGTGCGCCAGGCTGGCTCCCAATAAAATATAAATGGCCCACACCATGGCTCGGCCGCGCGGCAACCCGTCGGCCGTGGGTTCGACGCCCGAGCTCCTGCAGCATATCGCGACGTTTGTTCAGCACGGACCAGCGCTTTTTCGGCTCGTTGAAGCGCTCCCAGCAGACGCCAAGTCGCCGGCGATGGCTGCGCTCGACGCCGACAATTTGCGTCGATTGGCCCCGCATCACTGTCCTCACATCAACAAGCGAGGCGACCAAGCAGCACCTTGCCAACATCGACGCTCTCGGCGCCATTGTCGCCATGGGTGCAGAAGCTACCAGCGCCGCGCTACTTCAAGAGCACCAAAGCGTCCTTCACTGCGTTGCATTCTGCACTCTGCAAGCGTCCACGCTTAGCGAGGCAACGGCGCTCGGCGGCATCATTGCTGCATGTCCTATTAGTCGCTCTGCAGCAAAGGATGATGGTGTGCTGCGAACACATTTCAACGACCGAACGAAGCCGCCACCGATATTCGATTGAGCTCATGGATGTCGCAGGATGCAATGATGATCGACGTCAGCCCACAGAATCAACACAGCCGACCTTGACGATACAGTGCTCAAAGTGGCACACAGCGCGACGCAGGCTACGCGCATAGCATCCAGATTGAACGACGCCTCTTGTATCCCTCACTGCAAAATAAAACAAGATTGGCTTTCATCCAGTGTCTTGATCTTGGCGGGCTTTTTCAAATGGTCTCGAAACAAGGACATGTCCTGTTTTCAAGCGCTTCAACAAGGTGATGACACCCAAACCGAAAACGATTGGACAAAGCGCGCATTTGATTGAAATGGCCAGGGGCAAGAAGATCCAAGCAGCGCCGGCCGCGGACGCCACGCCCAAGGCCCCCAAGGAAGCCAAGGCGCCCAAGGAAGCCAAGGAAGCCAAGCCCGCCAAGGAAACGGAGGTGACCAAGGAAGCCAAGGTGACCAAGACCAAGGCGCCCAAGGTGGACGTCGTCAAGGCGCCCAAGAAGGATGCACCCAAGAAGGCAGGCAAGAAGGCTACGAAGGAAGCCACGACTGAGGTGACGACGACGGCCGCCAAGTCGGCCAAGTTTGGCCAGAGCTGGAGCAAGAAGGAGGACAAGAAGCTCATCGCTGCCGTCAAAGAGCAGGGCAAGGGCCATCAGGCCAACTGGAAGCTCGTGGCCAAGAGCGTGCCGGGTCGCACGGCCGGCGCGTGCCAAGGCCGCTGGAACACCGAGCTCGACCCGCTCGTGGACCGTAGCCCGTGGACGGCAGAGCTCGACGCGAAGCTCCTCGAGCTCTTCAAGGACGCGGCGTACGACTCGTGGAGCAAGCGCGGTGCGGCGCTTGTCGAGGGCATGAAGTCGGCGAGCGGCGAGGCCATGCGCCGATCGGGCGCCGACTGCTCGAGCCGCTACGCCAAGCTCACCAAGGCCGACAAGAAGAAGAAGGCCAAGACGACCGAGCCGGCGACTGCCGCCGCAGTTTCGTGGGACGACGAGACTGAGGCGCCCGAGGCCGACTTGAGTGCGATTGCGGTCCCGGCGGCTGCCAAGCTCACGCGCAACCAAGCCAACCGCGCGCGTCGTGTTGAGCGCCGTCGCAAGGCGGGCGCCGCTGCCGCCGAGGCCAAGAAGGCGGCCGCGGCCCTGGAAGCCGAGAACGAAAACGACCATGAACAGCCGGAACCCACGAAGCGCAAGTTCAAAGACGTCGCGGGCAACAAGAAGCCTTTCAAGAAGGGCCCGCCGACCAAGAAGTTCAAGAAGCACTAAGTTCATTTCTTATCACTAACTACTTATCCATTAGACACGGCTACCCACTTGGTTGTGCTTCTATTACAATGGTCAGCAACCCATCTAGGCCGACGTGTGCACGAGGCCGATCTGGAGCGCGTCGACGAGTGTCTCGACTTGGTAGATCTCCATCACACCGGCATACTTGGCCAGCAATGCGGGTGCGTTCGCATCCACGAGCTTGGGAATCACGCAGGTTTCGACGCCAATCTTGGCGGCCGCGGCGAGACGCGGCTCGAGCTTGAGCGGCGGGCGGAGGTGCCCCGAGAGCGCGAGCTCGCCCAGAAAAAGCGTCCGAGGACGCACTGCTCGCTGCGTCGCGGTGCTTGCCAAGGCCACAGCAAGCGCCAAGTCGGCTACCATCACAGATAAGCGCTTCATGGTACGAGAAGAAAGAACAGTACCCGCCGGTTCACCAAGCGAGTAGCCCTCGGCGACGTTGACAAAGACGTGGTTGGCGCGAAACGAGACGTTGGCGCGTCGCTCGAGGACGGCAAAGATGAGCTGCAGCTTGTCGTACGCGACGCCATGGCCGCGGCAGCTTGGCTTGTCGACCGCCACCGACGCCAGCGACTGGATCTCGACAGGAATCGGGCGCGACCCCTCGATCGCGATCGTCATGGCGACACCTTCCGACGGCAGCGCCGCCATGCCTACCACATAGCACGACTTGTCCAACCTGGTCCGATGCAGTCCGAGGTACCTGGCGTCAAAAAGGCGTGCAGGGGGTTTTGAAGCGGGAGCAATCCAGCATCGGTCATGGAGAAGACACCGACTTCATGCGTTGTGCCAAACCGGTTCTTGGTGCAGCGGAGGAACCGGCTCGCGCTCTGCGACTCGCCGTCGAGCTGGACGACAGTATCGACCTTGACAGGCATCAGACCTCAGTTGCAGTAGCGAAACGTACGATATGCTCGAGGACTTTGGGACCGGCAATGTCGCCCGACTTGGTCACGTGGCCAATGATGATGATCGGGATCGTTGCGCTCTAGCCGTCGCCGGTATACATAAGTTACGAGTACGGCAACTGCTTGTTCACCTTGCAGAGATGGAGCAGCTGCAGCGTGCACTCTTTGACCTGGTTGACGTTGCCTGTAGTCGTATGTATGCACCCGAGTTGTTGCACACGCTTGGAAAGGCGAGTGTACCGGCAGGCGACGCAATTTCAGACGAGTACATGGTCTGGATCGAGTCGATGACGACGCCGTGGCAAGGCCGCTCCTTGTGCATGGCCGCAATCATCTCGATGACGTTTTCAATGTTGGTTTCGCTCGCCAAGTAGAGGTCGCCGCCCGAGAGCTGGAGTCGGTCCGAGCGCATCTTGACCTGCGCCACACTCTCTTCGCCCGAGACGTACAACACGCGGCCCGTCCGTTCTGCGCTCGCGGCCGCCATCATGTGCGCAATCTGGAGCGAGAGCTACGACGCAGTTCGATGAGTGGGCGCATCGATGGACACCTGCTGCATACAGTGCTCTTGCCGACACCCGGCGCGCCGGCCACGAGCGTGAGCGATCCAGGCACGATGCCACCGCCTAGGACCCAGTTGATCTCGGCGTCGGGCAGCTTGATGCGCGCGACGTTGCTGGTCGCAGGCACTTCCGAGATGCGTATAGGGCGGGTTTGTGCCGTCCAGCCCTTTGCGGTCGTACTCGGCTTGGCGCTGCGGTGGCGGACGTGGGACGTGGCTTCGTCGAGCGTGTTCCATGCGAGGCAGGCGCTGCATTGACCTTGCCACTTGGCATGGACCTGGCCGCAGCTAGCACATCGATAGCGCACGGCAGCAGTCGATGACGTGGAGAAGCGGCGCGCTGTCATGCTTGGTGCGCGCTGGAGGAGGCGGCGCAGCATGGCTCGATTGTCCAGCGCAATCCAAAAATCTCCATTCGCGTGGTTGTTGAAATAGTGTTCTACTGTCACACCGCAACTGACCGTTGGCAGACCTCTTCTTCATCACTGCCGTGAAAGGATATCGTCCCTGCGTGAGTGCATCGCGTTGTGCATTCAATTTTACACGCAGGCAGCGCGCTACGAAGCGTGTAAGGGCGCAGTCCTTGCGCGAAGCACCATGCGTATACACTATATAAAACAGAAGCATGTAATAGTGTACATTCGAACGTCGAGATCGAACTTTTTCGCATTTCGAAGCAAATCTGTTTAAAACAAACGATGCCAAAAATACACCTCCTCGCTCTGTAATTAAAAAGAAGATGGCAATGTCTCTTACAAACACAAGTGACATGTACATAATACAATGAAAAGAAATCTAATTTTTATAAAGGACCGTGTCATAAACTGACGTGACCCACGTGGGCGGGCCCACCGACAACGAGAACCGGCCCCATGCTCAGCACGCCTGGCTCGCTCGTCCTGCGGCGGCTCGAGCCGCGTGACATCCCGCAGCTCCAGGCGCTCCATGAGGACTGGTTCCCGATCCGCTACAACGACTCGTTCTACCAGAACGCCGGCGACGGCCTCTGGGAGACGGGCGAGCCGCTCTTCACGCAGGTAGCCGCCGAGCACGACGAGGTGCTCGTGGGCGCCGTCACGGCGCAGATCCAGCGCGTCGAAGAGGCCGAGGACAAGGCGCTGCTGCAGTCGGCCGAGGGCAGCCTCATGTACATCCTCACGCTCGGCGCCCGCCAAGACTACCGGAGCGGGGCATTGCGTCCGTGCTCCTCGAGACGTGCATTCAGGAGGCCGCGTCGTCGCCGCAGTGCAGCGCGCTCTACTTGCACGTCAAGGCCGACAACTACAGCGCGATTCGCTTCTACGAGAAGAATGGCTTCCAGCGCCTTCGCTTCCTTCAAGGTAGGACTCATCATCCAACGACGGGCTTCTCACGACGACCATGCGCAGACTACTACATGATCCATGGGCACAACCACAATGCGTACTTGTACATTCGCTACATCAACGGAGGCAGCGCGCCGTCCAAATGGATAGACGTCCTCACGAGGTACCACCTGCTGGGTCGCCACTTGCTGCATGACCTCGTCACGTCGATCGCTAGACCTCTCAATGCGATCGTGTCGTTCTTCAGCCGCCTCTTCCACACCTCTGGCCACGACGAGAAGGCGTGCTCGATCGTCTAGGAGGTTACTCGATCTCTCAACACTCCCACACAACATTATAATGTACCATGCCACCTGCATCGACGGAATTCGAACCCGCACCAGCTCATCCGCAACGTGCCAAGTTGTACCACCCGTCAGAAGCGCGCTAGAGTCAACTGCACCGTCCTGCGTGACGGCAACTGCGACTCTAGCGGTCGATTGCACCTCCTGCTGGTTTCCAGACACCTCGTGCATTCGCCGATCCGATGCTTCATGGGAAGCATCCTCCATCGCGGGTCCACAGGCGAGCGATTACTCTGAAGAAGCTGCAGGACCGGAGGAAAGGCTGGAAAAGTCAAGAGATCCTAGTAGAGGGTATCGATCGATCGTCTCTTCTGTTTACTCTTGGTTGGCGACCGTGACCACGTAAAAGCGGGCTCCGTACGGCAGTCGGTACGGGTTAAAGTCCTAGAGACGGACCATGAAGCCGAGTGGACCGAGCCGCGTCGTACCTCGGTGGCCTGGAACGTGTCAATAAAAATAATTTCGCCCACGACGTACGACGGGTACGCTGCCTCGGCGCCTCGAGCCGCCGCGATCGACTCTTCGGCCAGGTAGTAGTTGGGCGCGCCCTCGTTGAACGCCATGTACGGCAGCTTGCCGTTCTTGAGGAAGAAGAGCGCCAAATGGTTGATCTGAAACCTACACCACCCCGCGTCAACCTCCTTCACTTGCAGCAGTCAATGGCGTCGTACGTGCGAAAGCTAATGCGCTGGTGCTGCGTCAAGCCGGGCGTACTATGGCGCTTGGGCGTCACGGGCGGGCTCAGCTCGTGGCCCCGCTGCGGCGACATGTGCAGCACGAACGGAGACTCGGCCATTGGCGTCGGCGGCGACTCGGCGACTTCCTTGCGCGGCGTCGCCACCGACATGGAGAGTGTCGCCACCATACACACGTGGTACGTCGAGCCGATCCGGATCTGGTACGGGTTGCGCTCGGAGGTCGCCTCGAACGCTTCAATGTACACGAGGCACCCGAGCACAAAGTTGGGTTTTCTATCAAAAATCCTTGTAAAATTCGGACGATTGCGAGGAGCAAAGTCGGTGCACCGGTCGTCGTCGTCGTGCTTGGCGGCTTCGATCGACTCTTGCGAGAGGTAGTAGTGCGGGCAGCCTTCGTGAAAGGCAATGTAGTCGCCGAGCGGCGTCGGGACAAAGAGAGCAACGCCACCAAGGGGAAAGCTACCGCATGCGATGAGAAATTTGGCGCAAGCAAAGCGCTCGGACCTCTTGTAGCAAATGCCGAGGAGCTCTTCGATGCACTCTTCGTTCGCTTGCCACGCCGTGTTGGCAACGGCGGCCGGCGGAGCCAGCGTTGTCGTCGTGGTTGGCGGCGCGACATCGTCCATCGGCAGCTGCGCGAGCGCCTCCTCCAAGCTCTCTTCGTCCTCCGTCAGCGTCGGCGGGCGCGGCACCGAGTCGTCCTGGAGCACTTCGCGCCCCACGTCTTCGTACTCCATGTCGACCATGACGTACTCGTCGCTCTCGGCAGCCCAATCTACTCGATCCCGTCAGCGCGAATCCTTAGATCGATGGATACCTTGGTTGACGAGCGCTTGTTTGGGCGACCCCGACACCTCCAGCGGGCCATTCAAACTACTACATCTATGCAAACCCCATCGACGAGATAGACCGTACCTCGGCGCGTCGGTATCGTCGGTCGGCGGCGGTGGCAGCAGAAACGGCGCATTGAAGAACTCTTCAAACGAGATGCGCTCGTTCGGGTCGCGGCGCAGGAGCCCTTCGAGCAGCGCCGCGCAGTCGTCGCTCACGTGCACGTCGAGCGGCAAGATAAAATGCTTGTACTTTTCATAGTAGCGCGCAATGTTGCGGCGGAGGGCGAGGTGGTTGGTCGCATGACAGTTGTCCTATCCATCGCTACTACACCAATAGACCAACGATAGAACGTACGACGACGAGGAACGGGTGGGCCTTGGCGACCATTTCGTAGAGGATGATCCCGACGCTCCAGAGATCGGCTTTGGCGTCGTACGACTTGTAGTCGAGGAGCTCCGGTGCCATGTACAAGGGCGACCCGACGACGCTCTCGGCCAAACACTCGTTGGCGAGGCTCCGCGCAAAGCCAAAGTCGGCGATCTTGACCTTTTGCGAGGCCGGGTTCCGGCTGCTCAAGAGCAAGTTGGCCGGCTTCAAATCGCGGTGGATCACGTGCTGCTGCCGAAGGAATTGGAGGCCGGCCGCGAGCTGCGACATGTAGTTGCGCGTCTGCGCCATCGAGAGGCCGTGGCTCGACTGCTTGATGTAGCTCGAGATGTCACCGCCCGCGCAGTACTCGAGCACGATGAAGATCGACGCCTTCGACTCCTTCGTCGCAAGCAGCCGCACGATGTTCGGGTGGCCGTTCTCGTACTGCTCGACTGCAACGCGCATGGTCTCGATCTCCTTCTCGATCGACGCGCGCTCTGCCGGGTTGCGCACGAGGCGCTCCTTGCTGATGACCTTGACGGCGACGGCGGCGCCGGACCCGAGGTTCACGGCCTTGTGCACGGTGCCATACGAGCCGCGGCCGATGGTCTCGACGAGCCTAGACGACGCATGAGCCTACCAGCAGCAGCATGCGCCCATGCCCACCGGAAGATGTTGCCGCCAACGTTGATCGTTTCCCCGTTCGCATTTGCAGTCATCGTCCCAACCGAAATGGGCTGCGGCTCGATCCTATGCGTTCCGAAGCCCCAGCAAACTTGATAATATATCGAAACACGCAGGTACTCTATTTTCTCATAGTGCAATTACGTGGCGCCTTCCTGGCAAGATGATCGATCCTGGGCGAAGATGCGAAGACGGCGCGATAGGGGATCGTGGACGACACATCATGATGACGGCGATATAGACATAGACCAGTCTATCGTTGGCAAAAGCATGTAGATGCACGCGGGTCCAGCGAGAGCGCGGAAGGGAGGCCCGAACGTGGCTATGCAGCCGACCTGGCGAGAGATCCTGTGGCGTCGTGCGACCGCGGCTTCTGTGCGCGAGGTGCGGGACCATGAGCGAGGTAATACCAAGACGACGCTAGTCCACGGCCGTCGGTTTTCTTCAATGTAAAGACGATGGAAATGCGTGTAGCAGGGAAAAAAGCCCTGGTCACGCGCTGACGAATCTGACGCGCGGTGAGCTCGTGCAAGGACGACTGCCAGCAAGGAAATCTCTGCTGCCCTTCAATCCAGCGTACCGTGGCACACGATGGATCCGACTCAGATCGTAGCACCTGCTGCTATGCATTCTAGAATCATCCGCGAATTCGCCACGCTGGACATCTCCAGCGCATGGGTCCTCCCGTCTGCATGGCGCCAAAGGCGATGACCAACAACATGAAGAAATTGCCCGAAATCCAAAAAATAAATTTCAAGGGCGGGACACACACTCATGGTGTCGCTATGCGACCTTCTCGCATCGTTCCAAGAGCATCCCCGCACGTCTGCCAGCGTGTCTGCGTGTTACGGATCACACTTCCATGTGTAGCAACATGGCCATATACAGATTGTAAATAGCATGACCCTATCGCTTTTTCCTTCTTCAAGAATATTATTATTACATTTCGTCAATCAAGCTGACGTAGCATGAATTCGGCCCTGTTCACACTCGCGTCATGGCCAATTAAACGGCGCGCGCACGTGGTACTGCGACATGTTGGAACGTCACGCGTTCGGATTGGCTAGGAATCAGCCAATCCCAGATGCCAACAGCCGCGGCGGCGTGGGAAAAAAGCGTTGAACGCGGTATCTTTTCGAATCTAATCTGCGTCTTTTTTTAAATGTTTGAAATAGCCTTGGTGTTTGTATGTCCTTTCACACGCCGCCATTAAACGAGGTCATCGACCCGCCATGGTGTCATTCCCCAATTTCCATTTTGACCCGCAAGCAACAACATCTACCAAGCAGCATGGCGAGCAATAGCACCACTACGATGAAGACGTGTCCGTGCCCGTTGACGGCCTGCAATACAATCAACAACAACAACAACCAGGCGCCCAAGGCCAAGCTGACAAACCGGCCCTCCAAGACCGTCGTCTGCCTCCGCGAGACGACGGCCTTCAAGCTCTCCGAGGTCGAGCCCGCGACCAAGACGACGTCAACGACGAAAACGTCGTCGTCGCCGCCATCCGCCGTGTGCACATGCACGTGCAATTGCTTCAACGCGGTGGCCTCGGACATTGAGGTGCACAGCGTCGACGTCGACATGGCCCATGACGCCTGGCTCGACGCCGCGCGGCCGTACGTGCCCGTGTACCAGGAGCTCGTCGGCGCGCAGCTGTCGCCGGCGCCGTCCGCGACGTACTATACGCTGACCGAATCGGGCCACCGCGGTTTGGAGGTCGCGACCGACCAGCTCCACGAGATGTTCTTCAAGGCCACCGAGTACGTCATGGACCACGAGGCCGAGGTCGGCCATTACTTCCACATACCCAGTTCGCTCTGGCCCAAGATACGCGCGTCGTGGGCCAAGAGCAAGCACGACATCATCTCGGGTCGGTTTGATTTTGCGCTCACCAACGAAGGCATCAAGGTGTACGAGTACAACGCGGACTCGGCGTCGTGCCTCCTCGAGTGTGGCTACACGCAGGACGCGTGGTCCATTGGCGCCGGCATTGGTAGCGTCGGCCGCAGCAGCAGCCATACCCTCTTTGCGCAGCTCGTTGCGGCGTGGAAGGGCAAAGCGCTCGACGGGCCGCTCCATCTCATGTGCGACAACGACCTCGAGGAGCGGTATCACGCCATGTACATGCAGTCGGCGGCCGAGGCCGCGGGCATTCCTTGCCACCTCCTGATTGGCCTCGACGGGATTACATCGACCGACGACGGCCGGTACTTTGACGCGGACCACCGCGAGATCCGCAACGTCTGGAAGACGTGGTGCTGGCGCACGGTCATGAACCAGGTCGAGGCCGCCGAGAGCGGCAGCCTGCCCGCGACCAGCTTTCGCCTCATGGACCTTCTCCTTGACGAAAACGTCCGCGTGTTTGAACCGCTCTGGACGCTCCTTGCGGGCTCGAAAGCCATTTTGCCGATCCTCTCGACCTTGTACCCGACCAATCCGTTCTTGCTCAAGTCGTCCTTTGAAGAAAAGGACGTGGCCACGTCCGGTCGCGGCTACGTGGCCAAGCCCGTGATGGGCCGCACGGGCAGCAACATCTCGCTCTACTCGGCGAGCCATGAGCTCTTGAACGAGACGGGCGGCCGCTGGGTCGACGACACGATCGTGTACCAGGAGCTCGCGATGCTTCCGAAATACAAAAATCAATTCGTCCAAGTCAACACGTGGGCGATCAACGGCCACTTTGGCGGCACGGTCCTCCGCCAAGACGCGTCCAGCATCATTGGGCTCAACTCGGAGATCCCGTCGCTCCGCATCGTGCCCAACCCGACAGAAGCCGTGGCGTAAGCTGCGCACCTTATTTAAGTCCTGCACCACACGAGCCAACTCTGCTGTCTGGACGCAGGCGACTTAATAAGTAATCTAATACTTTATATAAGCAACGTACTCGCTTCCTCTCCACTGAGCTACCCTTGGTGCATCGCCGATTGCATTGCCGAGACGAAAGCTCCGCGTGCTGCAAGCTTCAGAAGAGGGTTATGATGCGTAATGGACGCTGATGATGACGGCAATGACCGCATTGATTCGATGAGCTTCTGGGTCGTCGACAGGACACACTATGCGTCGAAGCCGTCAAGGTCCCGAACGCGATGCAATATTCAATGAAAAGATACACCCAAAGGTCCTCAATGCTCTTGTTGGAGACCGCTGCGCTAACCCGAAACCTACCCTATCCCTAATCGCGCAAAATCTCGACGACGACGCCTCGCACGCATCGTTCCAACAGGAAGTCCCGCGCATGCGCACACAGACAATATATGTGTATATTTTACAATCTCACACGAGGGCCTTGTCTACAGCAGGTGCCGTCTCGGGCCGGTCCGCATCCTCCTGCGAGGCATTGTTGGCTCGGTCGTCGTCCCCTTCTTCGCCTTCCTCCTCCTCCTCCTCCTCCTCTTCCTCTTCTTCTTCATCTTCTTCGTGTGCGTCTCCACCGTGGTCGTGGCCATCGGCCGTCGCAGCATCGTCCTCCGCTTCGTCGTCGGCGCCCGCGTACAGGCGGTCCCGCTCCTCCTTGGTTTGCTGGATGGCTGCTTGGGCTTCCTTCTCGCGCGCCTCGGCCGCGTCCTTCTCGGCTTGAATCCGCGCGGCTTTTTCTGCCGCCGCTGCTTCTTTTGCGTCTTTGGCCGCGGCGGCCGCCTTGCGTCCGTCGTCGGTCGTCTTGTAGTACGCGTGCATTTCCTTGCCGGCAAAGCAGAGAAAGAAGCCGAAGAGGATCCAGAACACGGCGACTTGGTACTGCGAGAAGAGGTACAGCATCGGCGACTGACTCAAGCACGATTGAAAGCCGGTCGCGGTCGCGGTCACGGCTTGAAGTGTCCCGAAGAAGCCCCACCTATCTCGGATCTCGAATCCACTGCAACGAGATGGAGTACTATGGCGTACCAGCCCACACAGAGAACGCCGTAGATGCTGTAAAAGACCTTGAGCACCCGCAGCCGCCGAATCGGGCGCGGGCCAATCCAGCAGTAGGCGTAAAAGAGAATCAGAATGTAGCTGAGCCCAACCGCGCCGCGGAGGAAGGCTACGGCAATTGACATGGTCAGCCGATGGTTGGAGATGCTACACGTACTGTCGAGGTACGCATTGCAGGTCGTGGATGCGGCGTTGGTGATGACGCCGCCAAAGACAACGGTCGTGAAGGCGACGCAGACAGGGCCGAGTGGGTATAAAAGAAGGATCGGTGCCCAGTATTTGTTTTTGGCCGTGACGAGCGCGTGCTGCTGGCGAATGGCTTCATCTTCGGGGCTGAGCTACGTGCGAGATTTGGATTCGCACTCGAATCGATGTGTTTGGATGCATGCAGTACCTGCTTCTTGGCCTGGAGCTTCTTGCGCAGTCGCTCCTTCTCGGCCTCCTCGACCTCTTGGTCGTCGAGCACGTACATGGAAACGGACCCGGAAACGGCTTTTTGCCCAACTACGCTGTGGAGCTCATTGCCGCCGTCACGACGCCAAACCACCACGTTCGTCGCATGACGATTACGTCCATTCGCGTCGAGCCCGACTGGGTCGAGGTTCTCGGGCCATGGCTTGCGTCGCCACACGCTCAACACCTTTGGTTTCAGCACAAGATCGCTCGCAGCAACGATAGTCTCTGTCGCCTGGTCGTTGCCGCGCGCTTCCTCTCGAGTCTCGACCTCGACATTGCGCAAGCCGGTGGCCTTCCGCCCATCAATGACGATGGCCAAGCGCGGTTTGAGAACCTCTCGGCCCTGCGCGTCCAAGTGCACGACATTGACGCACCCTTCGTCCAGGATCTCTTCCAGCGCCTCGATCCCCGCCGTCTGACGCACCTCACGATCTATTGCGAGAGCGACTTTAGCTACGTGCTGGACGCGCTTCCACGCTACACTGCGCTGCAAGAGCTCGAGTTTGGCGAAAGTCGCTTCCATCACGTCGCGTCGTTGCCGCTCTCGGGCATGCCAGCGTTGCGATCGGCCAGGTTTTTCGATGTGGGCCTCTCTGACCAAGCCGTCGACGCACTCGTGCGCCTCTTGGCGGACGCACCTGCGCTCGCGAAGCTTGTCTGGAACACCTCGAATGAGACCGCGTACGTCCGCGCCGCCATCGCCCGCTCGCTCCGTCACTGGATCAATCACGGCGTGCGCGATATTCAGCTCGACTTCCGCCACATGGCCAAGAACTCGGAGCTTGCGGCCGGCCTTCGCCATGCGGCAAGCCCGCTAGGCGCCATTATCAGCGTGGCCCCCAACAATATGGCTCCTCTGTTCAAAGCCCTTGCGACGTGCGCTGGCGTCACGCTGCAGCAGTCCTATTACACGGGACCGCAAGACAGTTTCTACCTCGTAATGAAGGCTCTCGCTCGCAACCTCGCCTTTGAACGGCATCGCGAGTCTTGGCGTGTCCGCAGCCCGCCGTATCATGCGTAGGCTTTTTCATGTTTTTCGTAATTTCAATTGGCGTCGTTCGTGCATACATACTCTGCATCCTTGCGCTCTGCGCCAAAGCCTCAATGCTCGCACACCGGTTTAGTGCGCTTCTGGTAGTTGGCACGATCATCCGACCACTGCCTCACCGCGATCAACCAGCGACATCCACACCTTGGGGACTGTCATATTTAGCCACGTACGACAATGCTTCTTCATTGCAAGACGGATCAAGACGCATACAATGTGCGCAGCGTACAGAGCACTTGGGCCAACGGCGCGTCCCGGTTGCAAATCGCTTCCTTGTACATTTGCTTGAAGACGCTGCTGCGCGCTTTGACGCTCTTGGTCGCACACGGCGCGCGCACGAGGCGGAGGAGGTAGTTCTGGACGCCTTCGAGGATGCTCGGAGCGACAGTCGCCAAGGTCGTCCGGTCGTCGAGCGACAAGCGGTGGCTTTTCGAGTACGCTTCGTACGTGTTGAGGAGCACGAGCAGTGCATGTTCAATGTCTTCGGCCTACGACCCCACTCAACGACGACTTGAGAGACAAGAGGACACGTCTACCTTGTCCGAGGCTGCGTACAACGCTGCGAGTTCTTGGTGGATGATGACAAACGTCTTGCCGACGTCGACAACGCCAAAGTACAAGAGAGCCTTCTCGTAGTGGCGTCGCGCCAGCTCCATCTTGGTGCGGGTCGTCGCGTCGAGCTTCCCGACCAGCTGCCGGCTGTAGAAGGACGCCATTTGGTAGTGCGTCGAGGCCACTTGGCGCGCGTCGTTGATCTCGAGGTACAGATGCAGCGCCTTGTTGAACTTGGCAGCGATATTCGCCTCCACGTCGCTGTGCACGGGTGCGTTCAAGCTCAAGCGCACGGCCCAGACGAGGTACGTGAGTGCGAGCTCGCCCGTGACTTTGGCGTGGACTTCGTTCGCGCGCGACGCTTTCAAGAGCGCGTGGGCTTTGGTGCAGAGACCGATCGCCTTGGCGTAGTGCTCGTCCTGGCGGCCATCCGCGTCGGCCAAAATCTTGTGCAAGTTGGCCAAGTTGGCACACAGCAGCGCCGCGTTCGCTCCATCTACGCACCTTAGCATCGTCGAGGCCACCGAGATGACGTACTACCTTCGATGGCTTCAAAGAGAAGACTGCCGCCTTCAAACCACAGGTAGGCTTGCTGCAAGTCCTTCCGCGCCAAGAAGAACTTGCCTCTCTCGTTCGCGGCGTTTCCGAGCTTCTTCATGAGCACACTACGCTCAGAACGCTAAGATGTGACCGCATTTAAGGCATCGCCTACAAGTAGTGTTCGGCGTTGACGGGTGGCGAGAGCGCGGCCAGGTAGGCAAAGAACGACAGGTTCGTCGTCGCGTCCAGAAGCGGTCGGTGGGTTTCCACGAGCGCACCAAACACCGTCGGTGCAAAGGCCTGCTGCAGGAAGGTCATTGTTGACGGCCGAACCGCGGACGTGAGGAGTTGGTAGGTGAGCGCGACGGCGGGTGCGAGATCGCCGAGGCGCTGGCTGCTCGCGAGGTCGCCAAGGGCCTCGAGCACATGTGCGCGGACCTCAAGCACGCTGTAGAGCGACTTGAGGAACGTTTTCGACTTGGCGTGACCGACGCCACCAAAATCAAGGTCGTCGAGGAACGTCTGGAAGAACGCAATCGAGTCGACGGGCGCGAGCGGCGTCGGTGGCGGGAGTGCATCAACGCGAAGGAACCCACAGGCGTCGTGGAGGCTTCGCAAAGCATCGGCGGCCGCGTGGTTCTCCATGTACACGGCGGCGAGATGCAGCGCCGTCGATGCATGCTTGAGTTGGAGTCGACTCACTTCTTCTTCCATAAAGAGACCCACTGCATCCTCATCATCGTCATCGTCATCGTCGTCATCACCGTGGGCATCCGCCTCGTCTTGCGCATCATCATGACGTCCGTCTCCCCGAGGCAGCGGCGACGAGAGAAGAGTCTCGGAGAGCGGAAGACCGCCTTTGGACGCGGCTGTGGCGTCCTTCTCAGCAAAGTAGTCGGCAACGCAGCTCTCGAGAACGCGAATGCTCTGCTGCAAGTGCAGCTTGGCTTGGCGGAGGAGCGCGGCCTTCTCGCTGGCGCTGCTGCTCTCGTCGAGTTCGCGGAGGTACGTATCTGCCATTTGCTCGGCGACCGACGCCGAGATCGAGTCTTGCGCGCGGGACCCGCCGTGGTCCCGACGAAGCTCCTTGAGGAGCTCGAGGCACGTGCCGAGGAGCTCGCGCTGTCGGTGCCGCAGCCGCGTCTGCAGCGCCGGCGCTTCGAACGCCGACGAGATGAGCCGCGCGGCGCGCGAGGCAAAGCGGTAGCAGAGCATCGCCATCATGTACTTCCACTTTCTTTGCTGGCCGCGCGCGAGCAGGCGTACGTCGTAGAGGCGAAGGGAAAAGTCGCCTTCGGCCCGGTACAGCCAGTACGTGCCGTTGGCTTCCGAGCAATTGTGCTACATCCCATGGCATCAACGAATGCATGGAAGACAACTTGTCCTTACTTGCAGAAACTTGAAGAGCATCGTCGCATTGAGGTTGACGTCGTGGATGTCAAAGAGAGGCGTCGACGAGCCGTTGAGGTACGGAATGTCGCGCGTCTCGACGAGCTGGTACCCGCGCACGTGGCCTTTCGAGTGCATGCAAATGGCCAATTCGGGAATGTTGGCAATCTACCCCTGTCGCATGATGGACAAGTTGTCTATAATCGACAGGACGTACGACGTTGTCGAGGTAGTAGTCGAGGACGGTGCACAGCGAGAGATCCTGGTCGGCGTCATGGAGCTTGAGCGACACGGATGGGTGCTCCTTGTTGCTGAAGAGCTGCACGTCGCTGCCGAGCAACTAGGCACACAGTAATATCAATCCAAAATGACCTCATTGGAGAGGACAATAATGTACATACTGTACATACCATTTGCATGTCGTGAAACTTCCACTTCAAAATGCGCTGGAACGCAGGGACGACGTTGGGCAGCGGCGAAGACGACGCATGTGACGACGTCTTGTCATCCTCTTCGGCCGCGTCGTCGTCCAATGGAGGCCGATGCAAGGCCGACAGCCCCGGCTGAGGTTGCTTCTTGCGCCTGGCCCGTCGCTTCTTCTCCTTGGCCGAGAGCTTGGCCTTGGACGGCTTGGCCTTGGGCTCGACCGAGACAGTGGGGGCAAACTCATCGTCGTCGGCCTCGGGCGGTGGCAGCGCCAGCGTGCTTTGGTAGATGAAGTTCTCGAACAGCGCCGGGTCCTGCTCGAGAAGCGGCGCGCTATGGCCGATGCGGAGCACCTCGTTGCACTCGTCAAAGCCCTTCGGAAGGTCCGTCTCGTCGACATCGCCGTCGACGACGAGCGTGTTGCCCACGCGGTGGATCGCAAGCGAGACGCGGCTGCGCGAGTACGGCAGCTTGAAGAGCGTCTTGATGCTCTCGGCGGGTCCGAGGAAGTGCACGTCGGGCATGTCCTTGGGTGACGTCCCGCCCGGAGATGGTAGGTCGTCCGATGCGGTCGACGGCGCCGAGGCGCCTGGCATCGAACGGTACGGCGTCGTCGTCTCGGGCAGGCCGTACTCGTAGCCGCAGCCGGCGAGCTCGACGCGCCCGTGATGGAGACGCAGTGACATCTGTGGCTGGCGAGGCGTGCGCAGCGGCAGCTGCAGCTGCTGGAGGTACGCTTGGTGCACGCGGCGCTCTTTGGCGGTGGGTGACAAGTTCAAGTCCGTGTCTTTTTCGAGCTGCTTGAATCGGACGGCCGGTGATGGCACGAGGACGAGCCCCGTCTCCGCCGTCGAGGCCATGACCGCGTCGCTTCCTTCGATCAGCTGCGTGTCCGAGGTGAACTCGATGACGCCCGCATCGTCGTCCATCTGCTGCTGCTGCTCTGTCGCTCCGACCGACACGTTGTGTGCGCCAAAAGAGCTTGTCTGGGGCGTTAAAAACACGCAACTTGTACTTGATTTTGCTATTCGGTGTCAAGCGTCGCGCTATCGCACCCAAAGATCGCAGTGGGCACTTGTCGATACGCAGCTTCCATCGACACCTCGACAAGGCGCTTCAAGGCGAGTTGGGGAGCGTTGCGAATATGCAATGATTCGAGTTCATTGACGTGGAGGTACGGGTAAGAAGGCCATGGAAGGTGTTGAAGACGGTGTTTTTAGCCTTGATAGAATGCAACCTGCTGCGGCCAATTCGGATAAGATCGCCACGGACGCAGCGTATCCGGACAACCGGATCCACAAAGATACCGAAATGGCAGCCGAGGAGCCGGTCGCCCAGGCCGCGCCCGACACGGCCATGACGGACGTGAGCATGACCGGCGCGCCGCCGAGCCCTACGAAGGAGAGGATGGCTACCGAGGGCCAGGGCGATGTCCAAGGCGGTAGACCTCTGGAGGGCCATGACGAAGCCTCGACAGGTAGACGTCTGGAGGGCGATGCTTGCACCATCATCGAGCCAGCGACGAACGATGATACGTACGACGTGCGCTTGGTCAAGGACCAATATGGCCTCGGCATCTACTTTACTCGCAGCGACGAGATGGCGGTCGTGGACCAGCACGTACCATTTTACAAGCTGCCGTCCGGCCTCCCAGGCCCCGGCGAAGCCAGCGGGCGCATCAAGCCCGGCGATGTCCTCGAGTTCATCGATGGGCTCGATATTCGGGCGCAGCCGTTTGAATCAACCTTAGAAGCACTCCGCAACCTCGCACTCGGCTCGGTGACGTTGAGCTTTCGATCGCCTGCCTACTTGCCGCTGATCGAAACACCCCTCGTCGAGGCAGCCGAGGCCGCCGTCACGCTCGAGGAGCGCAATCAATGGCTCGAGAACGAGCTCGCGCGAGAGCGCAAGTGCCGCGCGCTCGCAGACAAGAAGGTGCTCCTCTACCGCGAAGAGGTGCTGCGCTTGAGCCAAGTCAACCTCGAGCTGCGCACGGCGATGGCCAAGGACGAGGCCAAGAAGCGCGCGGCCAACGACTTTCTCGCGTGTACACACCTCATGCTATGATCGTCGTCCATGTCGACTGCTCTTGCCCTCTGATGAAATTATTTAACATGCGTAATCCAGAGCTCCTTCTGTCGCAGTGTACTGGGGCACCATCACAGTGCAGCGTCGAGGGTTCTGGTCACAGACGACGCGTGCTGCATCGCTCGCCCTTCACGCGCTGCGATCGTGCTGCCAGCGCGATGCCAGGAACGACGCTTGTGCCGGGGCTGCCTCGCCCGTCGCCGACCCGCCGATGGTATCGCGAGCCCACGCCGAGCCCACGCCGAGCCCATACACCTACGCCATGCACCTACGCCGCCTTGTGCCCCAGCCGCGATCCCATGACGCGCCGGCGCTTGCGACGTCGTCGCGACCGTGGCACTCAACGCTTACGAAACAGTGCGAGCCGCTTACGAAACACTTGACCACCTTGAACTTGGCTCGGGTCTGGGTGGTCTTTTTAATCCTATTTTGTATTAAAAACGGTTGCAATATAACGCCGTCGTACCACAACAATATACAAATGCGAGGTGAAAATAGAAAAATGAGAAAAAAGGATGGGCTGTTTTTATGCACAAAGATGTATAAAACGACCGATGGGACCTTGGCTCGAAGATCTGCGGCCAAAGACGCAGCTTGCATTATTTCCCGAGGAAGAGCAGCAGCACGATGAAGGTCCTCCGCCCGACGACGCCCGCGCTCGCCCGCGCCTTTAGCTCTGGCTACGTGCAGAAGACCGTGATCCCGACGTACCACTTCCAGAAGTCGCTCATGCGCCTGCCTGTGCCCAAGCTCGAGGACACGCTCAACCGGTACCTTCTCGCGGTGCAGCCGGTCGTGTCACCCGACGAGTTCAAGGCAACGCAGCGCGAGGTCGAGGCCTTCCGCACGGGCCTCGGGCCGCAGCTCCACGACGCCTTGGTAGCCCGCGACAAGGCGTCACCGGAAACGAGCTACATCAACAAGTGGTGGTTCGAGATGTACGTGCGTGACCGCCAGCCCGTTGCGATCAACGTCAACCCGCAGGTACAGATGCCTCTGCCTTGACCATGTCTCAATGCGTCTATAGATCAAGATCAAGGACGACCCGAACCCGGCCAAGAACACGCAGAACCAGCGCGCGGCGTCGCTCATTGCGTCGTCGGTTCGCTTCTTCCGCACGCTGCGCGACAAGCAGCTCGAGCCTGATGTCTTCCACACCAAGCCGCAGCACTCGAAGACGGCGCTCTTTAACAACGTCATGAAGATGCTGCCCGAGGCCATCTCGTTCTACGGCGCCGCCGCCGTCGGCGCCTACCCGCTCGACATGAGCCAGTACAAGAACCTCTTCCAGTCGACGCGCGTCCCTGGCATTGGCGAGGACTCGCTCCAGGTCTTCCCCGACTCGAAGCACATTGTCGTCCAGCGCGGCAGCGATTTCTTCAAGTTTGACGTGCTCAAGGCCGATGGCACCGCGGTCGCGGACGCCGAGATCCTCGCGCAGATCGACGCCATCCTGGCGACGCCGGCCAACTTGACGACGAACGGCCTGGGTCTTATGACGACGCTCGGTCGTGACGAGTGGGCCAATGCCCGCGCCCACCTGATTGCATCGGGCACCAACAACGCCGCGAGCCTCCGCGACATCGACAGCGCGCTCTTCATGGTACATGCCATCCTCTTCTCCGCCCCTCGTCCTCTGACGATGAGGATATTTGCTAGGTGACGCTCGAGCACGCGGCGCCCGAGTCGGACCGCGATATCTCCCGCACGTTCCTCACGGGCAACGGCAGCAACCATTGGTTTGACAAGAGCTTCCAGCTCTTGGTGGCGGCCAACGGCAAGGCGTCGGTGAACTTTGAGCACTCGTGGGGTGACGGCGTCGCCGTGCTCCGGTACCTTAACGAGATGTACACGGACAGCGTGAAGCACAACCCGCTTCCAGTGGGCGAGCGGTCGGCGACGGCCTCCCCGCTGTCGTTCACGTTCTCGGACGAAACGAAAGCGACGCTGGCCAAGGCCCATGCGACGTACGAGGCGTGGACGAAGCGGCTGCTCATCGAGACCGTCGAGACGCCAGTGACCAAGGCGATTGGCGCGACCCATGGCATTGGCACGGACGGTGTCATGCAGATGGCGATCCAGCTCGCGCACTTTCGGCTGCATGGCCACTTTGTTTCGACGTACGAGAGCGCGAGCACGGCCGCCTTCAAGCACGGCCGCACCGAGACGATCCGGTCATGCACGAACGAGGCGGTCGCCTTTTGCACGGCGATGGAAAACGCGTCGGTCTCGGTCGGCGACCAAGCGTCGGCGCTCCGGTCGGCTGTCAAGAAGCACAGTGAGCTCACGAAGAACGGCGTGATGGGCCAGGGCTGCGACCGCCACCTCTTTGGTTTGCGCAAGATGGCCGAGATCGAGGGCCTCGAGCTCCCGGGCTTGTACACGCTGCCGTCGTACCAGACGATGAGCCACATTATCCTCTCGACGAGCACGCTGTCGAGCCCCAACTTGGACGGCGGCAGCTTTGGCCCGGTCAACGAGGACTGCTACGGCATCGGCTACGGCATCGAGTCCATTGGCTCCATGTTCCAGCTCGCGAGTTACCGCCACGACCTCGGCGACATGCGCGACCTCCTCGCCAAGAGCGTCCAAGACATTGAGGCCGTGCTCGTGGCGACCAAGAAGTAAGAACTCTAATGTTAGATAGTACTGTCGTTTGTCAATGATGATGGAAAGATTGTCCAATGCTTCTTGACACGCATGCATCATCCAAGTCTGCGGATCGACGTCTTATCGATGACGAGCGTTTCAATTTTGGCCAATCAGAGTCCAGATGGGATCCGGCGGTCGTGACGTGGCAGCTGCAAATGGCTCCTTGGATCCGACGCCACGAGAGCGTCCCACAGAGACGTTGACGTGACCAAATACTAGCATCGAAGGACCTCATAGACGACAGGTGGTGCGTCCGTCGTGTGCGAGGAGCCTCCCGACAGAGCAGCTTGCTAGCGACAAGGTACAGCTGCATCGCTACGCTGCTACGGATATGGGAGTTCCCTGTCGTCGACTACGTACTTGGTGTGATCGCATCGAGGCGACCCGCATGTGCTACCGCAGTTGAATGCATCCAGGTGCTACAAGAGCTGTCCTCCGAGCGAGGAAGAAATCGAGCCCGTAGAAGTCCTGCTTCCGTGCTGCAAGTTGGCATGCGACGTCCTTGGATGTGGAAGGAGCTAGAGTTGTTTTCGCTGCCAAAGGAACGTGACGAACGCTTCGCAGTTGGCATTGCTCACCAGTGTACGTCGCGGACGGTCAGCAAAGAAGCGCGCGCGCAGCTCATTTCCTTGCACCGACGCCACGTCACCGCACGCGCCACGATCTCCGCGTTCGAGCCGAGGAGATGTGGGAGTCTATCGTCATCAAGATCTTCGAACGATGCGTCAACCGAAATAGCTTCCAGCCACAACACCCGCATCCACGGAGATGGCCTTTCCTGCTGCCCCAATAGCGTCGTTGACATATTGAGTCTTGTTGATGACCTCACACCAATTCGATCTGGCTCGTCGAGGTCGACGCAGCGGTCGTTGCCATCGATGCGGAACAGACCAGGTTGCTTGAAGTTACTTGGCTGGGTAAAGTAGCTTTGCATGCCCAGACAAGCAGCAAGGTAGGGGCACCCCCTCCCCCGGTACGATCGCAAAGCAAAGGATCTGCTAAGGGCCCATTGGATCCATCAAGCGCGAGCGTGCAGCCGCCGCGTGGCGCCACGCCCAATCGTCGACGGGTCGAGATACCGGCAAATGCTTCCACGCTTGCCATCCCACGTCCGTGCGGTCGTATAGCTACTGGCCTCTGGCGTCTTGGCCAGCTGTCTCGTCCACGCGCCGCGCACCAATGGCTGGTGATAGTCCTACGTCATCAGATGCGCATGGTAGCCACGATGAAGCTGCTGCTTTGAGCTCGCATTCGAGCGTCGCAGCGTTGGCTAGCTTGAGATGGGCACAGAATTCGGCACGGCCAGAGGCCCGGGTGGGGGCCATGCGATACAAGTCTTGGGGTCCAGGGCCCTTCGTAATGGGACCCGGCGCGTTTCATTGGTTCGTAATTTCATCGCGGAATGGGATTGGCTAAAAAACCGTGCAACCTGGGTCTCGGCCAGATGACGCTCGGGGTTCGGTTCGACACATCGCCTCCCAAGTCCCGCACCTCGTCCGAGGACCTCTTCGCCGCCCGTCCGCTCTCGCCGCCTGGGTCTCATGAATCCCGTCACGTCTCTGACCGCATCGGCCTCGGCCGCGGTCCTGCTCGGGAAGCTTGGGAACCTCAAGCGGCCACAGACACCCGTCGTCGACAAGACGAATCCATTCATCGGGTACTTCCACAAGGGCTCGGCGCCGCCACCGCCGCCGCACCGGCTGCACCACGCGCCGCGCCCAAAGCATGCGCCCAACAAGCAGTACCACGCCCACCAGCGCTTCGCCGAGTATCTGAGCACGTCGTCGTCGCGCCACTACGAGCCCAAGAGCACAAACAACAAGCACCACACGAACAACGCCCGCAGCAAGTTGCTTGAGCAGCACTCGACCACGTCGTCGACGACCAGCACGGCGCCATCGTCGGCGTCGCCTTCGCCCATGCTGGACGCGCCCTTCTCCCGCCGCAACAGCAGCGTCGACCTTGCCCGCGCCGGCGACCGGCCCGTCGCCCCGGCGCCGTTGACGACGCTCCCGTACTTTGCCGCGCGCTTCAACCAAGACTTCAAGTCGTTGCGCGTCTTGGGGCAAGGCGGCCAAGGGTGCGTGACCGAGGTCGAGAGCAAGCTCGACCACAAGCGGTATGCCATCAAGAAGGTGCGTGTTCAGGCGACGACGGACGGCCGCGAGAAGAACCGCCACCTGACGCAGGTAGCACATGCGCTCCATCATCATCACTGTAGCCTCATGCGTCGGCGGTAGAGTCTCCGTGAGGTGCACTTGATGGCCAACCTGCCGCGCCACCCCAACATTGTGCGCTACTACACGTCATGGCTCGAAGACGAGGCCGACGACGCGGTCGCGCCAAGCGTCGACGACGACGACGAAGCGTCCATGGCCTCGGAAGAGTTCCTCTCGTACGACGACGCCGGTAGCTCGTGCGGCTTTGAGTTCGAGTCGGCCGAAGACTTGATGGCCGAGCCAGCCGCGAGCGTCGAAGCGCCGACCAAGGCGCGGTCGTCGTCGCCCTCGATCAACCTCTTTATCCAAGTACGACATCCTCTGTCAGCGTACGGTACCATGCACTTGACGCTAGATGGAGCTCTGCAAGCAAACCGAGTCGATCTCGAACCTCGCGTCCTGGCTGCGCTCCAACAGCGACGACCGGGTCAAAACGAGCTCGGGACATGCGATGGCGATGCAGCTCTTCACCGACGTGGTCCGCGGTGTCAAGCACATCCACGCGTTTGGTGTCATCCACCGCGACATCAAGCCCGACAACATTTTCCTCCAGAACGGTGTCGCCAAGATCGGCGACTTTGGGCTCTCCAAGCACATGCACGAAGCGACCTCGGTCGACGACAGTAATGGCTTCTCGCCGTCGCCGTCGCTCAGCGAGAGCCCGACGACGAGAACGAGTCACACGACGGCGCTCGGCACGTTTTTGTACGCGTCGCCCGAGCAAGTCGGCCGCGGCCAAGTGCCCAAATCGACCTTTTACTCGGAAAAGGTAGAACGACCTGGATGTGCTCTTGATATCTTGATACAAAAGATGGCTCACGAGACGCTAGTCGGACATTTTTGCCCTTGGCGTCATGCTGCTCGAGCTCTGCTCGTCCTTCTCGACCATCATGGAGCGCGTCCAGGTGCTCACGGCGGTGCGCCACGGTGTTGTGCCGGCGGCGGCGCAGAAGGCCTTTCCGCTCGAGATGGGCTTGGTGGCCAAGATGACGGCCTTGGACCCGCGCGATCGGTACGTCCATTCGTGCTGCTGCTCGCTGGTCATGCGGAAGTGTGTGTGCTGCTAGACCCTCGGCCGAAGACATCTTTTACGCCCTCTCGCCGACGTGGGGTGGTGTCTTCCAAGCCCTCCAGGACAAGGTGACGAAGAAGATTGCCTGCCATATATGTGTGGTCTCACGTCTCGTTGTTTGTAGCCGTGGATGCAGCTCGACTCGCTCGCCGCTTAAGGTCGATGGTAATGCAAGCAGTTGCTCGCAGCACCATTTGAGACAAGAGACACACGGGATGCAAAACACAAGATTATACGGAGGATCGAAGTGGGGGCTTTATGCGTCGGCACGCGCACGCTTGAGGCTCCATGCTTGCGCGGCCTGGAGGAGCTTGAGGTTGGACTGCGCCTTCTCGTCGTCGGGGAAGAGGTAATCCGTGTACTCTTCGAGGCCGAGCTCCGAGCCGTCGTCGGCGTACGCCATGCGCTGCTTCTGGACGCGGCGCGGCATCTTCTTCCGGACGGCTTGGGCGGTCGCAGTCGTCCCGCTCGCGTCTTCCATCTCGAGCCACGCATCGAGGAGCGTGACGCGCTCTTCGTTCTTCTCGTCCTCCTTGAGGTTGTTGTACGCGCGCTGGTAGACATCCCGCGCCATCTCCACATCTTGGGTCGCTTCAAACTGCGCAAAGCTGATCCAGACCTTGACGTGCTTGGTGCGTTCGAGGAGGCGCTCGTAGAGCTCGCGCGTCTTGTCCAACTCGCTCAGTTCCGTCTCAAAGTCGATGAACGCCTTCCAGATCATCTCGGGCTTGTCCAGCAGCGTCTGGTTGACTGCGAGCTCGTAAATCGCACGGGCGCGGCTCACTTCGCCGACAGTCTTCTCCATGTCGGCGAACGCCTTCCACGCGACGCAGTTGTGCGGCGCGTGGAGGAGCCACTTTTCGTACAAAATGCGACACCGGTCGACCTCGCCCATCATCCATTCGAGGCCAATGTAGCTCCGGTAGAGCTTGGGCGTCGGGCACCGGCCAAGGGCCTCGCCGAGGACGCGGCGGCAACCGCTCACGTCGCGTTGGCGGAGGTAAAACTTGGCAAACAAAACCCACATCTTGGAGAAGGTAAAGGTCGCATGCGGCAACAACGCAAGGCACTGCTCGTACACCTGGCGCGCCTCGTCCTTCGAGTCGGCGACGAGCTCCATGTACACTGCGTACTTGATCCAGAGGAAGATGTACCGCCGCCAGTAGACCTTCTCCGCGATCGGCGGCACGTTGGCGATCGCGCGCTCGTACACCTCGCGCACCGTGCCTTCCGTGCCTTCGTTCTCTTCGAGCGTTGCGTACTCGAACCACGCGTCGTAGTCGAGCGGGTTGGCAGCGATCTGCGTCTCGTAGTGCACGCGGCGCTTGGCGACGACGACGTCGTCGATGCGCTTGCGGTCGCCGTGCTGCTTCTCAAAGCTGATGAACGCATTGTAGAGCCCGACGGCGTCGTCTTTCTCGAGCTTGTCGAGCGCGTACTTGAAGATCGCGCGGGCGCGCTCCATTTCCTTGCAGCGCTCTTCAAAGGCGGCGAAGGCGATGTACACCTTCTCGGAGCGCTCGTCGTCGCGGAGCTCGACAAGCGCGCGTTCGTAGATGGCGCGGGCGCGCGCAAGGTCCTTGCCTTTTTCTTCCCACATGGCAAACTTGAGGTACGCGCGCTCGGCGATGTGGCACATGAGGTAGCGCTCGTAGATGGCGCGGGCGCGCGCCCGCTCGTTCGCACGCGTCTCGAGCTTGATGTAGCTGTACCACGCCTGGTCGTCCGGCATCCACTCCATCCAGCGCTCAAAGATCGCGCGGGCCGCGTCCAAGTTGCCAATCATCTCTTCCATGAAGGCGTACTTGTACCAGAACTGGGCCACGCGCGGATGCAAGGTCACGGCGCGGTCCCAGATGTTGCGCGCGTGGTTCACAAACTTGTTCTTCATCTCCATCTCGGCGTACTTGAGCCAGAGCGAGTGGTTCTTGTAGTCGACGTCCAGCGCGCGCTCGTAGATCGACCGCGCCCGCTCAAACTCGCGCTGCGACTCTTCCCACTGCGCGTACTTGATCCAGTTGCCCATGTGCTCGCGCTGGCGGCGAATCGTGTCTTCAAACGTCTTGCGCTTGCTCATGCGGTACTCATCGAGCTCCTCTTCGTCCTCGATCTTCCGCCGGCCGATCCGACCGGGCGCCTCCTTGCGCTCTTGGGCCTCGCGCAGGATCTGCTCGGCCGTGATCTGGATCGGCGCCGGCGCGCGGTTCTTGACGACGCTCTTCTTCCCGCTCATGCTGCTAGCGACCACTCCCGGGTCCGCACAAAAGTCCGCTGCCAGCTATTTTATTATTATTATAACGCACCACGTTTAACCGTGTTAAACGCGTTCAACGCCACAATGCTATGTGCACGCCTCTTTCCGGATACAGCAAACATCGCCGGATAGCGCACTGTATTGTTCACACGGGATTTTCACATTATTGCTGTTCACACGTGCTTTTCACAGCGTTTCTCACGGCTGGATTTGCCACGTGAAGAACGCGAAAAACGTGAAGAACGTGCGTGGCCTGTCCGCTGGCGTGAGCTGCGCTGCATGATAATTTTTTGGCTCCTTTTGGCTCCCACGATCCGAGCACGGCCGCTGTCAAGAATGGCCTGTCATAAAGCCTCGGCGTACCATACAGTGTATGAAATACACTGTACCGACAGGCCGGCATACAGACTGGCAATCATTCATGCGGGCGAACGATGTCGATCAAGCGCTGAAGACGCTGCGTGTCCATGCACGGAATCCGTTGGCACCTGCGTGCAGCTCCTGCCGGCAGTTGCGGCGCACTCTGTCCCTTTGCAAACGAGTCTGATTCTACCATCCTTGCTGCCGTACGAGGCACCCGCTAGATGCTAGATATATGGACAGCGCCTAGCGCCTGAGCCTCTGCTGCCGTTCTGCAGGCTGGCAACGGGATGGGAAAGCCTCGTGCTCGGACGCCATGACAAGCATGCCGTGTGGCGGTGACGGCTGTGTGAAAAAGTTGAGACCAACTGGTCAGCGTACGGTGTACGCTTCGCCGTTGAGACAGGAAGCGGCAATTGCCAAAGATCGGCAACTGCGAGCTCAACTGCGTCACAAGCAATGGTCACAAGCCGTCAATAGCAACCTTGGTGACGCTGGTGTGCATCGCCGCTTCTGGCGTTCGAGCTACTCGCAGGAAGCGACAACCATGGGACGACCTCGTACTTTCGCGCCAGCTACTTTCGAACGGGATGATCGAAGAGTTCCGGATACGGTGATGGGATGCCGGATACGAAAAAGGCCAGAATGGTTCGGGCCAATCACCGTCGCTGCCGGGAAATAGTTTGCTGAATCGCATCCCAAAACCTTGAAGTGCCCACCGATCATTTTCACTTGGATTTCACACGTGGAAAAGGCAAATTTGCCGGTCTTAAATTCGGCATTTCCGGCCGCCACGTTCGCCTTCAACTAACAGGAAGGAAGCAGAGCCTCGACAATAATGGCGTGTGCATCTCGGCGAGTACTGTGCACGACGAGTCATTACGTGCGTACGACATGGCTGCCACGCCCGGCGCTGCCCATCAGCCGCATCACTACCGGTACCAGCATGTCATTCCTGATGTGCCGAAATTAATCCAGGTGGAGCACGCAACTTTTGTGAAGGACGCTGATACGAGGTAGGTGATGGATGCGACTACTAGCCAGGACCGTCCGTTGTACGTCACGACTCGGCTACACGGGTGCTAGGCGCAAGCGCCTCTTGGCCTTTCTTTCCGGTGTATAAATCGGCACCCGAATGGACCGTGTCTGCGCAAAAAACCAGGTTCGCTCGCGCGCTGCCGCGACATGGCGCCCATGCATGGTCGCATCGAGCGGCCGTCGTGGATAGCAACCGCCAGCAGCTCCATGTCGCTCTGTACGTGGGCGTCGTTGCCGTGTGTAGGGTATTTGCGGCATGTGCCACCTCTTATTGCCTTTCCCACCATTTCCCACGCGTGAACGACTGGATAAAAAAACACGGTGCTTCGTTTCATGGCGGATTGCGAGCAGCTGGCCCAATTCCGCTTATCGACAGGAAGAGGCGAAGATCAGCAGCATGTACGGCCAGTTTTCGGCCCATCGGTCTTACAGCCTCGCGCCAGCCAAGGCCGTCCTCGCGGACGCGCCGGCCAAGGCCAAGGACCCGCTTGGCACGGCCAAGAAGCCGCCACCGTCCAAAGAGAAGAAGCGCGCGACGACCATCGACTACGAGATGACGGTCGGCGACGACGTCGCGCAGGCGTACCACGACGCGTCCGTCGCCATGGAGCTGCCACAGCCCTACGTCATGGAGCTCAACAAGAACTTTGTCGTCGTCGAAAACTGCGCCCAGCTCACGACGCTCCTCAGCGCGGCGCCCATCCGCGCCCAGCCGCTTGGGTACTATCGCACGTCCGACGGCTTTGACATGTACGTCGCTTCGTCCAAGCATATGCAGTTCGCGCTCACATGCTATGCGAATAGGTATGTCTTCGAGTGCACCCTCGGCGCAACGCCCGTCGAGAAGCGAAGGTACTTTCGACCCATCGCATCCTTGCGCTCACGGGTCGTCCTTGTAGCTGGAAGATCCATCGGCGGTACCGTCACTTTGACGCGTTCTTAACGCAGCTCAACACACTCGCGCCGTCGATGCGCTTCCCGTCCCTCTCGGGGTCGTATTTGCAGATGTTCCGCGCCAAGCAGTGCGCGGACCGCCTCGTCGAGCTCCACGCGTGGCTCGAGAAGGTCTTTGGGCTTCTCCAGGCCGCGCAGTCGCTGCCCGCGCCATCCAAGCACGCGAAGCTCTTCGTCTTGCTCTGCAGCTTTCTCTTTGCGGGCGCCAACACGCCGTACATTTCGTCGACCGCGCCGACGCTGGCGCTCCCGGCGTTTGCGTGGTCGTACCAGCAAGTCACGATCCGGCTCACGCAAACGCCGTTGTATCCGTCCAAGGTCCGGTCGTCCATCGAGTCGGACGCGGGCCTCGGGCTCCGTCTCGCGCCGGCGCATCGCGCGAAAGAAGAGACGGCGACGGTCTATCGCGGCGCGCTTCTGCAGGCCTTTTTGCGGCAGCAAGTCGACACGGACCTCCAGCACGTCCGGCTCGGGTCGCACCTCACGCACATCAACGGCGTCTCGGTCGAGGACGACGAGTTTGCTTCGATCCTCTTCCAATTGCGCTCGATGGCGCGTCCGATGCAGCTCACGTTTCGCTTTGACCCGCGCCCGTACCGCTTTGAAGACGACGACCTGCCGGAGCGCGACAGGCTCTCGAGCCTCGCGACCAGCGACCGCGCCAACTCGGTCTACATGGCGGGTGGCTCCATGGACGTGACCGAGCCGCAGACGCCCATGCGCGTCTTCGAGTCGGTCTTCTCGGACGCCTTTGGCCGCAAGCGCACGGATACGATCCAGCTCCCCGACGATGTCAACGAAGAGGTCGAGAGCAACCAAGATGACGTGATCGAGTCCTGGGACGACGTCGGTGGCTTTGTCATGGACACGATCTCCCACGGGTACTTTTTCGCCAAGCTGCACGCCAAGGCCAAGCCGACGGGTACACGTCGCCGCCGTCATCGTCGACAAGTTGTCTCATTTTGACGTAGATACGGCGTTCGCCACCGGCATCTGGAGCACGGCCGCCGGCCCGATGAGCGTGCAGTTTACAGGGTGCCGACTGCGCGGCAAGGACGCCGTGTACCTCTCGGCCACGCCCATGGTAGGAGTGTCTGGGCGTGTCTCACGTACTATCTAAACTTGTATAGCTCTTCAACGCGCCCGAGCCGAAGAACCCGTACGACCTGGTCGAGCCAGAAATGCAAATATGTCATCACGTTCTGTAGGCCACGCAAGCAAGAGCGCCGTCTTGAGCGCGGCATGGTGCTCACGGCCGTCAACAAGGAGTCGACGTTTGGCCGGTCGTTCAAGGACGTTCTCAAGCTCGTCGAGTCCGCGTCGCAGCCGACAGCATTGACATTTCGCTGGTTTACGGGTAGGACACCACGAGACCTGTCTCGTAAATAGTCTCATGCGTGCGACGTGGATAGAATACAGTCTCTTTCTCGGGCCCAACTTGGACGCAGTGGACCAAACGCTCATCAACCGCCACATTCGCGACGACCCGACGCCGACGCCCATGGAGCTCAACTCGCTCCTCGAAGCGCAAGTACGTGCACTCGATACATTGATACCTTGATAGTTAGCCAAGGACCTGTAGGCCAAGATGTTTCGGAGCCTCCAGACCGCGCTCACGGAGAACGCGTCGCTGCGCAAGGACATGCAGGTCATCCAAGAGTCCAACCGACTCGTGCGGGAAGACCACGCGTCCGCGCTGACTGCGTACAAGGGCCTCTTGCGCGCGAACGAGCGGCTCGTGGAGCGCTGCCAGGCGCTGCAGTACGCGCTCGAAGACGTGCATCTGGATGTGCAGCAGACCGCGAAAGAGCGTCGCGCCGCCGAAGCCGCTGCCGAAGCCGCTGCCGCGTCGCTGAGCTCGCACTTGGAGAAGGCGCGCGTCGACTCGCTCCACTACCTAAAGGCCCACGAGGCGCGGTGCCTCGCCGAGTGCAACAAGTCGATCGAGGTCGCCAAGCGCGTGGCCGAGGCCAAGACGAAGAAGCAGGTCGACGACGCAATTGCGGCGCTCCGCACGCAAACGAACGCCGCGATGCAGCGCCTCGTCGAGGAAAACGCCGACGAGATCGAGTTTCTCAACCAGCAGCTCGCGCTCTGGAAGCATCAAGTCGAGGTGCTCACCGAGTCGGACCGCCGGGAACACGCCGCCTCATCGTCCAAGCAGCCGAAGAAGAAAGCCCTCGAGGTACTCCTTTCTCCAACGACCTGCACGAATGCCAATAGGATGTGTAGATCCCAGAAGACACGTTGTTGCGGGAGATGGAGCAGCTGCATGCCCAAGACCGCCGCGCAGGGTCGCGCGTCCGGTCGGCCTCGAATGCAGACACAAACAACAACAGCAGCAGCAACAGCAATAGCTCGATTACCAAGGGCGGCAACAGTGCCAGTGCGGCAGTACCCAAGCCCTCGGTGTGGGACCGCGTCCTCGACTCGATGATTGGCGACTGAGTCACGTTGCTTTGATTTATTCACTTATCTAATATACCCTATCCACAATAACTTTTGGTTGGGCTCTCTCATCCACGACGGCATTGGCAGACACAAGAGAGAGTCTCATGACAATATTGTCGTCGAAAACGCAGTCTTTTTAGGCAATAAGTCCATCCACGACGAAGCTTGTTTACTGACTGCAGCGCCGACGACGAACGATCTACCGACTGTTTCGATTGACGCCACGTTGGCGGGTCTGGTGCCCAGAGCGCGCTACCGCCTCGTCCATGGAGCGGCTACTGTGTTAGGACAAGTGGCCGAGTCACGAATGGAGCCGCAGCCGACATGCTCGCTCGCTGCTACCGGTCGTGCGTTCAAAGGTATCGCAATATATAGAGAGAGGAGCGTCGAGTGATAAACCCGCTGTAGGAGCTGAAGAGTACGCGGGGAGCCTTCAAGACGAGTTGTGCGCCCGCGCCTGGCGTGTCCTCGTCCCTGACGTCGTACGAGTCTTTAGTGTCAATGGACGCTCGCTTCGTGGCTCGAATCTCCATGAAGTAGCTGGTCGAACGAAGTCGTCGTTGGATGTGCGAGTCGTCGGCTTCACGAGACACAATATCGCGAGAGGCAATCGACCGGCGAAGCCTGAAACCGTGTCGGTCAACACGACAACGGCTGCGACGAAATGGGCTCGCGGCTGCTGCGCGCTCTCCTTGTGTTTGGCAGCGCCGTTCTCGCGCACCGCAGCACCGTGTACTACCGCGACAGCACCAACACCCACCTCGTGGCGCGCGAGACTGACCAAACCAGGGTCGCGATCGGAGACGACCCCAGCTGGACAAAGCTGCTGGGCTTTACGGTGCACGAAGCCGGCGCGAGGTAATACCACGCGTTCCAGTGACGCTAAACCAAGTACTATGCAGACTCTACTGGTCGGACGGCAATGCGATCTGGCGCGCCAACCTCGACGGCAGTGATGGCCACGTAGCTCGGTCCTTCGCGCGTGGGTTGCATTTCGTGTCTGCGTAGATTTTCGTCGGCGCGATGGTGCAGGTGACGTGGACAGGCGCCAACTTTGGATTTGGCATCCACGACGTTGCGCTGCGTGTCGAAGGTGTGCCGTGCGTCCGCATCACGGCATGGTCGCGCACCCAAGTGACGTGCGTCATGGCGCGGCCAGCACGGACCGTGGCGTCGACAGCGAGCCTCGATCTTAGTGCTATAAGCATGACCACGTCCGCGGGCACGACCAATGGTGCGTGCCTCCATCGCCAGCACGACGTGAACGTATGGATTGATGATGCTTAGGTGTCCAAGCCAACTACGACAGCCTCGTCTTAACGCCGGGCCTGGCCATGCCCCTCGTGCAGTCCATTGCAACGCGCGTGACGCTCCTCAACCCGCACACGCTCGCCATCGACCACTACGATCCAAGCGCCCACTGGCTCGTCTTCTCGGACGACGCCAACGGCCGTGTTTACCGCGTCGACGTCCACTCGTACGCCATGGAAGACCTGCTAACCTCGGTACGCCGGTGGCATATCCTCCTCTTCCAACTGCCGAAACATGCGCAGGTGTGGGCGGTGCATGGCCTTGCGGTCGTCGGACCGTCCGTGTATTTTTCCGCCGAAGCCAACGGAACCATCGCGCGGCTCGACACGACGTCGGGCGCCGTGACGCCGGTTGTGTCGGGGCTACCGTCGCCGCGCGGGCTCTGTGTCGACGTTATGAACGTACGACTCCTACGTCGCCCAACAGCGCGACCATGTGATGCAACTAGACGACGCTGTATGTGGCTGCGAAAGGCGGTACGATATGGGCGGTCGCCAGCAGTGGCATGCCAGTGCATGGTCCGTCGCGCACGGCGCCAACCGTCGCGAGGCGCCTCCTGGCCGTGAGCTCGCTCGCGCGCCTCAATGGCATCGCGTTGAGCCATGATGGGTACGGTCGGAAGATTGACACACTTGGATCGTATCAATACAATGCGCGATAGTAGGCGCCTCTACTGGAGCGAGGCCAACACGAACGTTGTCGCGCGCACGTCGCTTGTGCAGCTGCGCCGCGAAGTGCTCTTCGGTGGCACACCGCAGTCGGTGCCGACCGGCGACGACACCAAGAAGGCCGAGGTCGCAGCCTGTTTTGGCGTCAAGTGGCACAAGGTGCCAAGCGACGACGTCGAGTAGAGTGCGCCGCGTTGTTAATTTAATGCATCCAACAAAATTGGAATCCATGCTGTGTGGATGATCTTCTCGGCTGAGATTGTGTGACTCTGCTCGAACTTCGAAGGGCAAAGAGGCAGCACGCGATGATCCTCGTGCCCTCGTCACGGTTCCATCGCTGTTTTTGTCGGTCCAAAATGCGCTCCATGATGCTATAACGCCATCAACTCTCGACACAGTCGGTGGTGCATGCGATACTTTCAAGTTGAAGCAAGTCGGTTTCATCGCCGCCATGACGTGGCAGCGCCGTGTCGCAGCAAATGCTACGCACCGCATCAGCGCGGTGACCGGTCGCGTGCGACAATAAATGCCAAGGGGTCTGTGCAAGCGCACGCCATGCGCCTGTCCACCAGGGCGACGAACGTTCTTCTCGTCGTTGCAGTGCCCTCGTGCTGGCTCCACCCCGCCGACCACCGACCACCACAACCACCACGCCCTGACCTCTCTCACATTGCAGTACGCCAAAGTTACATACTTCCAGGTACTACAGTCGCGTTATTCGGATCAACACGCTGCGTGTGCGAGAGCGGTGTGCGAGATGCTATTCAAGTAGCTTACGGAGCGGTGCCCAGAGCGAATCCCACTGCTTGCAGCGGCATCCTCCCAAGACGGCGACAATGTATGCACTTGAAGCCGCAGCCTGCCGTCGTACCGGTACAGGTGCGAGTTGCCGCTGTGCTTGATTACTGCCCACAGAATTGTACATCGACTTGGCGCTTCCGACGAATCATTTTTTGATTTGCACCAACCTCACAAGAGCATGTCGACACAAGTGGCGTCCCCGCGGTGCATCAGCCTCGTCTACTCGAACGAGCTCGTGAAAGCTCGCACCGACAGTGTCTTCCGAAGCATGCTCCAGCAGCTCTCCGAGAACGACGACGACGACCACAACACGCGTCTCCTCAAGAAGGCGTTGCAGTACCGGAAACGACCGCCGCACGTCAACGTCACCGTCTCGGATGATACGGAGGTCGCCTCTTGCTTTGGCGTTCGATGGCAAAAGATGTCGCCGTGAAGACCGCCGCGCCGTGTACCTAGGTTACCTATAATGTACGAATAGTAAGTTAGTTGAATGTTGAAAAGACGAGTGGTTCGCATCCAACATTGTCTTTAAACAGATATAATACACAGACATTCGCAATGTGCCAAGGGCATGCGTGGTGGCCCGCGCACTAGACGTCGATGCATACCGGTATGGTCCTCGTCTTGGACTGCTTGGACTGCCGAAGAAACGTCCATCCTCCCGGCTCCAAGTCAACACCAACGAGCGGGTGATTCGTCGGTCATTGCCAAGATTCAAGGGAAAAGATAAATTAATCTTGGGGGTAACTTTAAGCTCCTCTGTGACAGCAACGCGGTCATATTAAAATCGCTGACGTTACTGAAGCGATCCGCACCTTACAAACCGCACGTGTGCCGACTTGATTTCGCCTTGCAGTTGCTGTTGGTGCGTTCGAAATTCCCATCGTTCTCGTCAGCTAGTACGTCAGAATACAGTGTAGGGTTGCAGAACCCCGGGTTTCTCCTGCTTCATCCACGCACGGAAATGCCGAGCGAGCCAATCACATGCAGCAGATTTAACCCCACAGGCGTCCCGAGACGGTCGCCCGAGCTACTCGGCCTTTTCGATTGTATATGACACTTGTGTTCTACCAAGCACCATCGCTGTGCACCAAGTCCAGTGCATGTGACCAGTCAAAAACAAGGTAGGATGCGCTGCTATAAACTATTTTCGGGAGGTTCGCATCTCTTCGGACAATCGTTGTTGCTTCCAGCTTCAAGTGGCTGGCCGCTCGACGAAACTGCAGCGAATCAAATTGGCGGCCGCCACACCGCTGGTAAGATAAGCCAATGAGTTCCATCCGACGAGGTGCTTAACTCACCATACAACCTTACCTCCCGGCGTTGTGGCGGTGATCAAAGGAATCCATCCGGACCCCGCCAACGTCGTCACAATGCTAAGATAAGAATAGACCGTGATCCAAGCTCTGCGGCTGACCCCTCTTCCACGTTTTTAGACCTCGGTGACGAATCGAGTACGGAAGCACAGGTGTGTCACGGCCGCTCGAGTCCAATAAAGATCTTGTTTGATTGGTCAATAATGGTTAAAATTGACCAAGATACGCTTAGCCGCTCTCTCATTGGCTACAACCAAAGTTGAAGTTCCATGCCCCACGTGGCAGGTCCACAAACAGCAAAGCCGTCGCATCTTGTTCTTCTGTAGTTGCCGGGGGCGAGTGAGGCCCATGACGACACGCTGCGTAAAGTCCTTCGAGGCGTCGCGGCCGGCGGCAAAGCTGCGCAGGTTATCGAGGTTCTCAAGAGACGCCAGCGACCAGAGGTCGCGGTGCAGGGCAACGTGAGCTTGGTGCGGCCGAATTAGCGAGGCGCCTTAGACGGGGCGAAGAATCGGGCAACGTTGGGACGTCTTTCTTCAGGCGCAGCACGGTGCGTCGCAGGCGCTAGCGCTGGCGGGCAAGGATCTCGCTCAGTGGTACGCTGTCGCAACGCTCATAGAGCGCGACGTCGGCGAGCGTGTTCGGGTGAAAGATGCCGAAAGCCGATGCTCAGCTTGTTCTTGTCGTTGGAAATCAAGTCGTTGGAAATCAAGGGGATAAAACAACTTGTTTGATTCCCTTGTTGGAAATATACGCGCGTTTTCCATCATGGGAAGGTGAGATGACACCGCTCGTGGGGAAAGTTGATTAGCTGATTGCGTCCCACAACCAGGGTCGACGTAGCTGTCGCATATACCGGTTCCTCCAGTGCGACGCTCCAATCACCATATATTTGTGATGTCAAGAAGATTATGTGACGGGAGAGGTCTATAATTGGTAGACATGGACGATCTGGTCCGCACACCCACAATCTGGATGGTTGTGGACGCTCAAACCCCGTCCACGAGTCCCGCAAACAGGAAGGAGATTCGAGATATCATTTCTTGTTCGCCCATCTGTCCATCCTGCATCCCATCCAGGTCAAACCCAATGGGTCAAACCGACGTTTTGCCCACAGCGTTTGCATCCAGCGTTTTCAAAACAGTGTTTGCTGGCGCAGGTGGCCCACACCGGCGAGGTATAGGCGGCCCAGCTGCTGCACAAGCTGCCACGTGCGAGATTCGGCGGCCTTTGTCCCAAAATGCACCTTCGCGCCACTCAATCGTTGGCATTTTCCATTATGGACAGCATTCAAGTGCGAGAGGCGTGTGACCGGCGCACATGGATCCGCGACGGCGACCGCAGCTCGTGCAAGGAGTGCACCAAGGGCTTCTCGGTCACGCGGCGGCGGCACCACTGCCGCGTCTGCGGCGACATTGTGTGTCATAGCTGCAGCGCGACGGTCTACCTCCTC